TATATAAATAATTCATGGTGGAGCCTGAATAATAAGTCTTAAGGGGCCCATATTCTACGATCTCAAAATGATGGTTCTTCAAGGGTTCTCTAATAAAGACAGTGGTTCAATATAGAACCATGAATCCTCATAGAATCTTTTCATGCTTAAGTGGTTCTTTGCATGGTGAAATGGTCTTCAGATTGATGGAGAATATGTTGTATATAGTTCTATTTAGCATCCAGTTCTGCTAGCATCAAGGGTTCTGCTATTGTTTTATGATGTCTAGCTTGTAACATTAGAAGAATCCTTTTTGGTGCTACATAGAACCATTTTAAAAAATATACAACACATTCTCCATCAATCTGAAGAACCATTTCTCCGTGCAAAGAACCATTTAAGCATGCAAATGCTTCTTTAAGTGTTCATGTATTTTATTTTCTCCCCCATTTATGAAGATTTTGCAGTTTCATGCACCGGTCATACAGAATAAATCATAAATCATAAGTAAATTCAAAAACAGTCCTAATTCATTTGGTAACACTTTCTATGAATGTCACCTTTGTAAGCATCTATAAACACATTCATAACATGTTATAGTACATTCATAAGGCATTATAAACATGGCTATAAATATTTATAAAAATGCATTACACATTATAGCCATGCTCATTATGCATTATGAATTGTTAACATAATACATTATAAATACTGATCATAACAAATTATAAGAGCTCATAAGTCGTGTTTGTCCGCTCTAAGTAAAGTGAAGCGTACTGTACTAAAGCCTCCTCCAGCGTTCAGAGTGAGGCTTCAAGTTGAAGTATTTACTGAAGGATTTACTGAAACACTAAAACATTCACAGTAAAGCACATTACAGGCTTCAAATGTCAGAGTTTAAACTAGAGCTGCCATCAGTGTTTTACCCAATGTGGGAAAGGTAATGTTCACCACCGTTAGCTTGGTATTTGTCTTTACGCTCTCCAAGCTGGGACTGACTTCTTTGGCACTGACAGTATAACATGTTATTAACACTATGTATAATGCATTATATTAACAATTCATAATGTATAATAAACATGGCTATAAAGTGTAATCCAGTGTAATTCATTTTTATAAATGTTCATGATCATGTTTATAATGTCGTATGAAGGCATTATAACATGTTATAAATGTGTTTATAGATGCTTACAAAGGTGACATTCATAGAAAGCGTTACCATTCATTTCTGCATGATCTTTTTTGAACCTCTCTTCATCCTTTAGAATTATACAGGCTGTTTTTAAGCTGTGTTTTGATTGGCTGTCCTGGTTGCCTGGTTCTTCCTGAAATGCGGTTACTATGTCAGATTTTTTTATTTAAAAAATAGTGAGCAAGATGTAATTTTCTTTTATATGATTAACAACTGAGTAAAACATCTGTAGTTTAAGAGAGTTTAATAGCTACACTAAAAAAGATGTTCCTCAGGGGTTCTTCGGTAAAGAAAAATGGTTCTATATAGAACCATGAACACTCAAAGAACCATTTGCATGATTAAAGCGTTCTTTGCATGGTAAAATATTTCTTGTTGTATAAGATTCTATATAGAACCTTTTTGAAAAGGGTTCTATATAGCACCAGAAAGGGTTCTGCTATTGTTACAAGCGTGACATCTTAACAATAGAAAAAAACCTTTTTGTTGCTATATAGAACCATATACAACACATTCTCCATCAATCTGAAGAACCATTTTACCATGCAGAGAACCATTTAAGCATGTCAGTGGTTCTTTGAGTGTTCATGGTTCTACACAGGACCATTGTCTTTTACTAAAGAACCCTTGGAGAACCACCTTTTAAGAGTGTACTCCAGATTAAAATGATGGTACAAATGTGAAAGAACACAGTGTTGAAGAGCTGTTGAAGAATGTGGGCCGGTGCCCTGTGTGAACTCCCTCAGGGGTTTTCTGCTATTCACACACATCATTAACAAAGACAGACAGCAGAAAAGATTCATAAACCAGCTGACCCACTGTTCACATGACCTTCAGGAGCGTCCAGGAGGGAGTGGACCAAGAGTGAGAGAGAGGAGGAGTGAAAAAGAGCAGCTTAAGGGGTTGTTTTGTTCAGGCAAATAACAGAATGTATCTCATATCAATGCTGTCTAAACAAAACCTTATGTCTCCATTTTATGTCCTTTTGAATGCTGAACAGAAGCCGCCCAAAATCACTCCAGTTCCATTGACTTCCATTCAGATTTTAGATTGTTAATTGAACTATTTGATCGCATGTAATCTTTAACTCACAAGCAAATGTGGATGTTCTGTTGCACAGACCAGCCTTATATCTATGCTGGTCTATGACAGTCTATGCTGGCTTATGCTGGTCTACTACTGGTCTAGCTGGTCACCCAGCATGAGCATCCTATACCCAACATATACTGGTTTTAATGGTGATCAGAATATCAACTTTCATTGCTGCAGACCAGCATACACTGTTAGAAATAAAGGTTCTGTTCACGTACATTGTTTGTTCAAGTACAAACAGTGTTAATGTTCCCTCAAAGCTCCAACAGTGGTTTTAAGGTCTGATTGTGAACCTTAAATAAGTGTTTCCAGGTGAAAAGTTCGTATTTGTACCTTTTCATAACCGAATGTTTTAAAACAGAACAGTAAAATAAAAGCCTGGAGACGAGACGGGGTGTGTGGAGTCAGTACAGCTTAGAACATATCATTTCAGTGGATTATGGTTCAGTTATGTTCCCTGACTAAAGGTACTGAGATGGACCCCCAGTAACAAAAGAGTTACTGCCCCAGTGACAGTACTACCTTTCTTAGAGTGTTCCAGCATCCACAACACAATAAAGGCCAAAATATATAGGTCTTTTTCACAAGAAGTGCATAAACGCTGAGTAGAACAAGTTCCGCTGTTGCCTAACGGACAGTTATTAACCTCAGAAATACAGGCGTTCGTATCAATTCAGACCATCACAGAAAGCTGTGTCACTTTATCTTTGTCATAGTTGCCAAGACTAAAATTCGAGGATGTGTCTATAATGATTGGAGAACCAAACACACTACAATGTGGGAGTCAAAACTAAATAAAGGATATAAACTCTTCATGGAAAAATTGCTTCACAGCTCTCAGAGTACAGTAACGTCAGCTAACGACTACGGAGTGATAAATTGATGGAGGTGAAAATAACTATGAACAAAATTCTCGCTAAGCATAAAATAGTTGGCAAAAAGCTAAACATGCACACATGCCGGCACTCCTCCCTGCTGAGCACTCGCTGTCTCAGATACCGACAGCTTTTGAGTTAAAAAATGAAAACGGTTCCACTGAAAGCGGCTGTAGCTGCAACTTTAAATCACAAACTGCACCATTAACACTGGTCAGCAGTGGTGAAACACTGACACAGAGGTTCTTTTCCTCTGTATGACAAAGTTTATTCCTTTGTTAACTGCACAAACTCATTTTTCCTCTGCTCATCGTCAGCTGACCACTGAAACTGAAATGAGGCTGTTTTTGCTTCAAACTCAAACACTTGAGTGAGCTGCACACGCGCTAATCCTCATCGCTGTTATTGTCGTTGCTTTAGCAGAAGCAAGGAGAACTTCCGGCAGAAAAAATGTGGAAATGTGAAAAGGGCATATTGTCTCTGTCAGGACAAAACCTGGTACCTCCATTTTTGTCGTTTTTCATTTTGTGTCATAATTTGAAATCGCCAGCTGCTCTTCATATTGTGTCCAAATTCCATGATGAATGGTCCAGTAGAAATGCTCCAAAATGACCTGCATTTAATAACTTCTCCATTAACTTCTATTCAAAGCTATTGTTTGTATTAGTTGTTGTTTCCTCTCCTGAAAAGTTCCATTTCAGAGATACTGGGTTTGTTCCAACAGCGACGATGTATTTGCTTTTGATGCACAGTTACTGTTTATTTGCCATATTAACATACTGGGGGATGAAACAATATTTTATTTTATTTTTTTTTTTTTTGTTTGTTTGTTTTCTTTTATTCCCAGGCCAACATTCCTTGGCCACTTTACAGGGGACATATATATATATATATATATATATATATATATATGTATATATAATTTTTTTCTTTTCACTTCGCTATTAATGTCTCAACTCATCGTTTATTAATGATCATATAGATATAAGGTGATGTGGCACCACAACCACCCAACACCCCTCCAAACATCACCCCCCCACCCTCTCACCCACCCCCTGCTTTGAGTGAAACAATGAACAGAAATAACAGAGAAAAAAAAAAACAGAAGAAGTAAAGAGAAAGGATGAGAAAATAATAATAATAAATGATAATAATAATAATGACAAACTGGACATACAGGACAGACAAACACAGACACTTAACAAAACAATAAACAAGGCAGTAATACCCCCCCTTTTTTATGTAATTATAACGTGGGTAGTTATCAAATCATATGTAGTGGTTTAACCTTCCCCAGATGAGATTGGAGAGAGAAATCAGCTCTCAGTATATTGTATAAATTGTGACCAGGTTTCCTTCAATGATTTTGTGTTATTTTTAAAATTTGCTGTGAGTCCAAGTTGCAGTGATCCATGAGGAGGTTAAGCCAATGCTTTATTGAAATTTTGGTTCTGTCCTTCCAGTTCAGCAGTATAACTTTTTTGGCAATGGTAAGTGATATGAATATGAAGCATTTGAGGTGATTGGGTGCTGAAAGTGAGGAAAGGTCATTAAGTAGCGCTATAATGGGACATGAAGGGATGACAAGGCCCAAAATCTCTGATAGCCTGTCCATGACCTCTGACCAAAACTGCTGGGTCGGGGGACAATTCCAGAAAGCATGTTCCAATATTTTAAAAAGGAATTGTGCGCTAAGATTTGAAGGAAAATGCTGCGTCCTTTAGAAGATAAACATGGAATTTGACCGGGGTGTTCAGACTTCTGCACACATCTGTACTCACCATGGAAGGTCTTTTCAGCTGAGAGTTTATAATAAAGCTTTATTGCCGTGTGACCCGTTTCCTCTTTCCTTCTTGCCCCAGTGATTGACCTGTTGGAGCTGCGGGATGCTGGTCAGACGGCGGCGGCTGTGGAGAACGTGTCCGGAGGTTTGGGGAGTGTACAGGACCTGTTTATCACCTCCACGTTCAGGCTGCCTCCGAAACTGGGCGGAGTGCTGTTCGGCCTCTACGGCAAAGAGGACAATAAAAAATACCTGGAGGTCGCTGTGATCGGCAAGATCAACAAACGTGAGCATTTCTGTCGAACTGTTTGTGCCTGGAATCATGTAATAACACTGTAGTTCAGGGCTGGATATGATCAATAACAGCCATGAAACCTATAAGCAATTGATCAGGGCTTTTATTATCATGATAAACTGAGTCACAATATGCTTCTCTGATCATATCGTAGATATCGTCAGTACTTAAAGGGGAATTCCACCAATTTCTCAAAATGTCTGATTAATTCTGTGGTTGAGATGTAAACAGAGTGATTCAGAGTGGTTTGGTGTGAAATGGTTCAGATGTCTTTACAGTGGTGGTGATAGGAACCAGGCGTCGCCATGACTACAACACAAATATAGACATTTTATTTACTATCCAGAACCACCAGTGAACCTACACGAGTCTTCTGAGTTTATATGGAATGTTGATGATGGGAAATAGTGGAAAATCTGAAATAATAAGTTTTCTTTGGGGACTATTTTGCCTCACAACACTCTGCATGTGTCCCTCCACCATGAGTGGATTAAAATAAATGCATTAAAACACATTTTAAGCTAAAACATTATCATAAAGCTATTGAAAAACAATGTATCAGGCATCAGGCAAAACATATCTAACAATCTAACAATTTCATGTAATAACTTTCTGTGAGGGAGCTTTTATAATGGACATCTGGTTCCCATTAACACCACTGGCACATATATATATAATGTGCCAGCTTTTGCCAAATGTTCTATGTACGTTATGTTGTATTTTATTTAGATTTTCCAATATGTTAAATTCAGTAAATAAACAGTAAATGTGCCTTAAGGTGTGCAGAAGTGTGTTCTCTGTAGAGGATGAGTTCACTTACAAACAAAAACACATATTTGACGTTTAAAATTTTGTTCACACTCACATTTACATGACAATTCTTTGTGTATTTAGCTGATAATTTAAGAAATTCTGCTTTGCATAGCGTATTCTCATTCTTCATATCTCTCTCTCCCTGTCTCTCTCTCTCTCCCTCTCTCTCCCTTTCTCTCTCTCTCTTTTTCTCTCTCTCTCTCTCTCCCTCTCTCTCTCTCTCTCTCTCCCTTTCTCTCTCTCTCTTTTTCTCTCTCTCTCTCCCTCTCTCTCTCTCTCTCTTTCTCTCTCTCTCTCTCCCTCCCTCTCTCTCTCTCTCTCTCTCTCTCTCCCTGTGTCTCTCTCCCTCTCTGTGTCTCTCTCTCTTCCTGTCACTCTCCCTCTCTCTCTCTCTCTCTCTCTCTTTCTGTGTCTCTCTCTTCCTGTCTCTCTCTCTCTCTCTCTCTGTGTGTGTCTCTCTCTTCCCGTCTCTCCCCCTCTCTCTCTCTCTGTCTCTCTCTCTCCCTCTCTCTCTCTAGCTCTGTCTCACTCTCTCTAGCTCTGTCTCACTCTCTCTGTCTCTCTCTGTCTCTCTCCCTCTCTCTCTGTCTCTCTCTCTCTCTCTCTCTCTCTCTCTCTCTCTCTGTCTCAATTCAATTCAATTCAAACAAAGTATGTTTTCCAACATCTCTCTCTCTCTCTCTCTCTCTCTCTCTCTCTCTCTCTCTCTCTCTATCTGTGTGTGTCTCTCTCTCTCCCTCTCTCTCTCTCTCTGTCTCAATTCAATTCAATTCATTATACTTTATCTGAAACAAAGTATGTTTTACAACATCTCTCTCTCTCTCTCTCTCTCTCTCTCTCTCTATCTGTGTGTGTGTCTCTCTCTCTGTGTCTCTCTCTCTCTAACTCTCAGTGTTGGTGCGGTATTTGCGCTCTGATGGTAAAGTCCACTCAGTAAACCTACAGAACCCGTCTCTCTCTGAGGGCCGGACTCAGTCTGTGATCCTCCGCGTAGCTGGACTCAGACGAAGCCACATTAACATGGAGCTTTATGTTAACTGCCGATTGGCCGACTCCGCCCAGGGCCTGCCCTCGTTCGTCAAGCTCCCGCCGAAGGCGGAGTCTGTGGATGTGCGCACAGGAGAAAAGGCGTACGCCAGAATACAGGTACTCAACTTACACAGCCATGAGAAGCACAATACACACCACTTCTAAACCTCTGTGGTTGATATACAGAAGAATGTGAACCCCTTCAACTAATGACTTCAACAGAAGCTACCTGGAGTCAGGAGTTCGCAGGCAGGAGCCGAATTGCAGAGACGTCTTTATCTGAAATCTGATCTGTTTAGTCTTCAGAAACACTTGCTTTAGGTTACTGCTGCCAAAGGAGGTTTGACCAGTTATTAAATCCAAGGGTTCACTTACTTTTTTCACCAGCACTGTGAATTTAATTGGTTTGCACAATAAAGACATGACCAATTAAAATTGTTTGACCAATTAAAATTTGCGACTTACATGAAGAACAGACCACATTTTCTCCCCACTGTACGTCAGACCCTCTATGTCAGGGGTCTTTAATTAAAATTCAGTTCAGTTAGAGAAAATTTCCTCAAGCAAAGGTCCGAAACATCATAATGTCTAACTTGCATTATGATTCAGTGGTAACACTTTCTATGAATGTCACTATTGTAAGCATCTATAAACACATTCATAACATGTTATAATGCATTCATAAGGCATTATAAACATGGCTATAAATATTTATAAAAATGCATTACACGTTATAGCCATGCTTATTATGCATTATGAATTGTTAACATAATACATTGTAAGTACTGTTCATAACGATTTATAAGAGCTCATAAGTGGTATTTGTCCGCTCTAAGTAAAGTGAAGCGTACTGTACTAAAGCCTCCTCCAGTGTTAAGAGTGAGGCTTCAAGCTGAAGTATTTACTGAAGGATTTACTGAAACACTAAAACATTCACAGTAAAGCACATTACAGGCTTCAAATGACAGAGTTTAAACTAGAGCTGCCATCAGTGTTTTACCCAATGTGGGAAAGGTAATGTTCACCACCGTTAGCTTGGTATTTGTCTTTACTTTACACTCTCCAAGCTGGGACTGACTTCTTTGGCACTGACATTATAACATGTTATTAACACTACTTATAATGCATTATAGTAACAATTCATAATGTATAATAGACATGGCTATAAAGTGTAATCCAGTGTAATTCATTTTTATAAATGTTTATAATCATGTTTATAATGCTATATGAAGGCATTATAACACATTATAAATGTGTTTATAGATGCTTACAAACATGACATATAGCAAAATAAAGTACAATTCAGTAATATTTCAACATCATTTATTGTCAGTTTCTCTTTTTAGATCATGCCATGTGAAATGACCTCCCTCTGACTCACTTTCTTCTTCGACTGCTGTTTCTCGCCTCGTCCCTTCTCTCTGTGTGCGCCACTCATTCGAGTCTCAGTGCTCATCGTAATGCACAGATCTGATTGGCTGAGTAGTGTCACATGATATTTATGACGCATGCGATTGGTCTGTGAGTCTCCTGGGCCGCTAAAGCTAGAAAGGTTACGGCGATTAAAATAGGACCACCCCGTCGAAATTAAATAATTCTCCATAGTTTATCGGTTGTAGGTCCAGGTCCACATAGGACAGCGCCTGGGTCTGGACTTGGATCCCGGTCCGCCTATCAGTGACCGCTGCTCTATCTGATATACATTTAATCACTTATCATATCACAGACACATCAAGTGTCCGTGTCATCAAAAAAATTTGATGTAGTATGTAAACTATGTATGTAAATGTAGTAAGTTTCAAAAAATACCATTCACTCCCAAATCCGTCCAATCAGTTTATGGAAAATAAGCTGCAAAAATCAGCCCATTTGAATTCTTCATGGTTATGATGCCAGAGGGATTACAGAGTTTGTGTTTCCATTACTGTATAAAAAATGCACAAGGCTGCCTTTAGTGCGTGCGTTAACAGACACTTAATAATTTGATAACTGCAGAAAATCAGATAGTCAATAATCCGATCAAAAGTGTTTCGCTGCAATGCTGCTCGCTTATTTCCAGTACCACCGTCTGTTTTCGCACATGCACAATCTGAGAAATCCGAAAGAAATCAGAGTAAGAGTTTACATGCACTGAATAATCAGATAATGTGAAACTCCGGGTCTACATGAGTCAGACAGTAATCAGATTTCTGCTTTACAACCAGCCAATAAACTCACAGAAGAAGACGTGCTGTAAACATAATGTAACACTCAAACTTTACCTGAATATATGAACATACATCATCTAGAAGATGAAGAATATTTAAATCCTACATTTTGTCAGGTATGTAGTCGGTTTCAGTGTCACTCCAAAAGAGCTTTGCTGCAACGCTCCTTGCTTATTTCCGGTACCGCTGTCTGTTTTCACACATACACAGACTGAAAAATCTGAAAGAAATCAGAGTAAGAGTTTACATGCGCTGAGAAATCTGATTACTGAGCTAATCCAGCCTCTTTGACCTAAGAAGCTGCAGTATGCTGTTTACATGACCATTTGAATAATCAGATATCTGCCGAAATCCGACTATGATCGGATTATTGAGTGCATGTGAAGGCAGACATTGTTGGATCAGAGTGCATGGCAAAGCTTAATACTGATTTGTTTACAACTAATGTGTGATGTTAATTCCTGTTCATGAGTTTGCTTCTTAAAAATGCTCGACTGTAACTCAAACAAAATAATCTGCAAATGTTCAGCTTTGTCAGAGCATGCTCTTTATGTCAAAATAAATTAAAAAAACAGCTTTATTAACGGAAAAGAGTGGATTAAACGGCAGAAATAGCCACATTTCGTGTGTCAGCCTTGAAAGAATAATGTCTTTTGTGCAGTAGAGAGGGTTTAGACACAGTTATTTGAAGAGACCTCTCTGAAGGATCATTCAGTTGCATGGGCGGCGACCGCTTGGCTGCTGTAAGAAATTCTTCTGAAGTTTTATAAAACATGCAGCGTGCAGCATAAGGTGTAGTGAGGGGCTCCAACACCAAAAGCTGTTGCTTGTCAGACTCTCTATGCCATATATATATTTAATCACTTTAAAGAGCCCATATCATGTATCCATATCATCAGAAAATGTTTGATGTGGTATGGAAACATTGTTCAATTTCAAAACGTACCATGGACTCCCAGGTCTGTTCTGTCTGTTTATGAAAAATAAGCTGCAAAAATCAGCCCATTTGAATTCTTCATGGTTGTGATTTCATGGTTATGATGCCAGAGGGGTTACGGAGAGTGCATATCCTCATTGGCCACAGTAAAGTAAATCAGCATGTGCAATCTGAGATTTCAGTGTGCTGCTGTGATTCCATTACTGTATAAAAGATGCACGAGGCTGCCTTTATTGCTGGATGCACTTAGTGCGGAAGCTCATTCAGAGCACATGGCGAAACTTAACACTGATTTTATTCAGAGTAACAATAAAACGCAACTAATGTGTGGTTTTTATTCCTGTTCATGAGTTTGCTTCTTAAAAATGGTCGATTGTGACACAAACAAAATAATATGCAAATGTTCAGCTTTGTCAGAGCATGCTCTTTATGTCAGAATAAAGGCAAAAAACAGCTTTATTAACAGAAAAAACTGGATTAAACAGCAGAAATAGCCACTTTTCTTCGTCGGCTTTGAAGGAATAATGAAGAAACCTCTCAAAAGAATCACTCACTTGCATGGGCAGCAACTGCTTGGCTGCTATAAGAAATTCGGTAACACTTTCTATGAATGTCACCTTTGTAAGCATCTATAAACACATTCATAACATGTTATAATGCATTCATAAGACATTATAAACATAGCTATAAATATTTATAAAAATGCATTACACGTTATAGCCATGCTTATTATGCATTATGAATTGTTAACGTAATACATTATAAGTACTGATCATAACAAATTATAAGAGCTCATAAGTGGTATTTGTCCGCTCTAAGTAAAGTGAAGCGTACTGTACTAAAGCCTCCTCCAGTGTTCAGAGTGAGGCTTCAAGTTGAAGTATTTACTGAAGGATTTACTGAAACACTAAAACATTCACAATAAAACATTACAGGCTTCAAATGTCAGAGTTTAAACTAGTGCTGCGTCAGTGTTTTACCCAATGTGGGAAAGGTAATGTTCACCACCGTTAGCTTGGTATTTGTCTTTACTTTACGCTCTCCAAGCTGGGACTGACTTCTTTGGCACTGACATTATAACATGTTATTAACACTATTTTTATAATGCATTATATTAACAATTCATAATGTATAATAAACATGGCTATAAAGTGTAATTCAGTGTAATTCTTTTTTATAAATATTTATATCCATGTTTATAATGCCTTATGAATACATTATAACATGTTATAAATGTGTTTATAGATGCTTACAAAGGCGACATTCATAGAAAGTGTTACCAGAAATTCTTCTAAACATGCAGTTTGCAGAATAAGGTGTAGTGAGGGGCCCCAACACCAAAAGCTGTTGCAAGTCTAATATAAATCTTACGTTAGGATATTCTAATAAGCACATTTTAGCGTAACATGGCCTACTTCTTCACTCTTTACTCTCTTTACTGTTGTAGGAGATACAAATACCACTTTCTGTGTCTGTCTGAACAGCTTGCAGTGAACAGGCAGAGCTCCATATCAGGCCTCATCTGCATTCGCTGGTATGTGTGACTGTGTCCCTCCCAGTACAAAGATATGGAGGTGAAGGGGGATGGTGGGGGTGCAGAGGCTCAATAGCAGGGTTAAAAGAGAGAAGGAGGATGGAAGTAAAGAGGAGGAGGAGGAGAGGATTTCTGAATAGAGCCACAGTGCAGGCATTCTTCTCTTATCTCTTATCACTCTCTACTCAGATCAGATGGCACACGGGGGTAGCCTGTGTCCACTGTGTCTAATAGTGGTTAAAGGGCCCATATCCTACATTTTTCATGGCTGGATCTAACGCTAGGGCCGTGGGAAGGTGTTTTAAGGCATTTTACGGTGTTTTAAGGTGTTTTACATATTGACGTCATGTCACAGTCACATTGCCACCATTTTGGTAGGCAACATCAAGTTCATTCAGCAGTGCTGTGGTGGTTTGTAATGAGAAAAGGCCATAACTGATCCAGCAAAGGCTGTAAAACATGTTTTGTTTTTAAAAACACATTTTAAATCACATTTCTGAAGCATTTTAACTGATATATTTGAATGTTTTGCCCTGATTTCATTTGATTTGTTGCTGTAGTGATTATGCTAAAATCTAAAGGGCTGAGATTTGCTCGCATTATTATTTACGTGTCCCAAACCACACACTAGCACACTTCATAGCATGCAAAAATAGCACATATACCATTAGAAGTGCACTCATTAGTGCAGTAGGTGAAGTACAAGAGTGTGTGGTTTGGGACGCGGCATTAGATCAGCCAGTGAGACACATCAACACCTAGGGGCTTGTGGGGGCCTTGAATTTTTTTTTTTATTTTTGCCCTGAAGTCCACTTTAAATGTCACATTTTTGAGCATCTATAAACACATTAATAACGTGTTATAATGCATTCATAAGGCATTATAAACAGGGTTAGACATATTTGTAAAAATGAATTACACTGATTTATACTTTATAGTTTTATTATACATGAATTGTTAACATAATGCATTATAAGTAGTGTTAATAACATGTCTTATTTTCTGTGCCAAAGAAGTCAATCCCAGCTTGGAGAGTGTAAAGTAAAGACAAATACACAAAGTTTATTTACACCCTGGGATGTCCAGTATTTTATTTCTCCCCACTGGTGCTGTTAGGACTGCATCTTCAGGGCTCCGTCCTCCAAACAGGCTGTCCAGGCTAGAATTATTGCTACAATGTGCTTTTCTTAACCAGTGCTCTCACTTTAAACACTACATTACATCACAGTAAACCAAGTACCTATCAGCCCCTCCCCTGAACCCCCTCTGACATCACACTGAGCATGAAGTCACTGTGGAGTGAAGGCCTGGAGAGAGAGATGGGAGATAGCAGAGTGCTGTCATTGTAATTTGTTCCCATACTGGTTCTAACATCAAGCATGAGAACCCTTCACTCTGTAACACCACTACACTACAGTACAGTGTTAAGTTAGTGCCAGGCTAACGGTGGTGTACATTGACTTTCCCACATTGATAGCAGCTCTAGTTTAAACTCTGACATTTGAAGCCTGTAATGTGCTTTACTGTGAATGTTTTAGTGTTTCAGTAAATCCTTCAGTAAATACTTCAACTTGAAGCCTCACTCTGAACACTGGAGGAGGCTTTAGTACAGTACGCTTCACTTTACTTAGAGCGGACAAATACAACTTACGAGCTCTTATAATTTGTTATGATGAGTACTTATAATGTATTATGTTAACAATTCATAATGTATAATAAACATGGCTATAACGTATAGTGCATTTTTATAAATATTTATAGCTATGTTTATAATGTCTTATGAATGCATTATAACATGAATGTGTTTATAGATGCTTACAAAGGTGACATTCATAGAAAGTGTTACCACTTTACTTAGAGGGGACAAATACAATTTACAAGCTCTAATAATTTGTTATGAACATTACTTATAATGCATTATATTTGCAAAATTATAATGCATAACAAGCATGGCTATAACATGTAATGCATGTTTACAAAAATGTATAGCCATGTTTATGATGCTTTATGAATGCATTTTAATGTATTATGAATGTGCTCATAGGTTCTTAAAGACATAACATACATAGAACTTTAAAAATGTTCACACAGCTCAAAAACTCTTTAAAAAAAAGATTTATTTTTCTGCAACAAGGCCTACAAATCTCTCTTCACTGCTCTCCTCCCAAAACATATGGCAGTTTATCACTGTCAGTTACCCTGAAGCTCAGAGGGGAGATGCTGTGATCTGGTTTCTCTAATTAATCTGATGGGTTTTTGCTCCATTGTTGTTGTTCCTCACTCTCACTCGCATCTGGGAGTCCCTACTAATGTGTCTGTGTGTTTGTGTTTGTTTGTATATATTTGCAGGACAATGACAGTGCTGACCAACGCTCGTAAAAAAGATGGTTCTACAAGCGTTCTTTAGTAAAGACAATGGTTCTTAATAGACTGCTTGTATTTTTTCATGTTTAAGGAGTTCTTTGCATGGTGAAATGGTTCTTCAGATTTTGAAGGTCTGACTGGTTCTATATGGCACCAAAAAGTGCTCTGCTTGACATTGTAACAATAGCAGAACACTTTTTGGTGCCATATAGAACCATGAAGCATGAAATTTACTTTACTAAAGAACCCTTGAGGAACCATCTTTTTTAAGTGTGTATTTTAAAAATAACAACAACAACAATAATAATAATAATTTTTATTATTATTATTATTATTATTATTATTATTGAAATAATAATCCATGATTAAACATAAAACACTATAATAATAATAATAATAATAATAATAAAAATTATTATTATTATTATTATTATTATTATTGTTATTATTATTATTATTATTATTATTATTATTATGTTGTATTTTTATGTGGCTCTACAGGTTCTATTTTGTCTGTTCCAACTTACCAAACCTCAGAAAAATGAAATATAGTGATGCATATTGTGTGTCATGAAAATGGCTTGAAGTATTGTGATATCTTTTTTTGCCATATCGTCCACCCTTAAATGTCTGTTCAGAGTTATTTGAAAAAAATATGTTTTCTGTTTTTTTTCCAGATGCTGACAAATGAATAACTTGTATTTTTCTGACTTTTACACCGTACTGTATATGATACATATGAGGAGTTTATTATTACTTAATAGACACTGTGTCCAATACATATGGAACCTGTTGTTAATACATATATTTAATTGTCTGTATTTAATACATCTGGTACATATTATAACATATAGATACTTACATATGGGAAATATTAGATATACAAATATAATTAACATTGTGTTTTAATGCTGCAGGGCTCAGTGGAGTCTATAAAGCTGGCTCTGGGCGGCTCTTTGGCCAGAGCTGGACTCCTCATCGACTGTCCGTTCCAGGGAGACTCTAGTTTGCACAATGCAGGTACACTCTGAGCACTGAACAGCACTGTTTAATGGAGATTTTTAACCTCTCCCTTCATTAGCACCCTCTGTTTAACCACTACTGCTTGCTGTGGTCATTCCTTACCCACCTGACCGGCCTCCCATTGCTTACTAGAGCTACTGCTGCCTCACTTCTACATATCACAACTTTACTTCCACAATAGCACAGTCCCTAAATCTGCTGCTGTCAGACTTTCTCATTCTGAAATACTGTATGTTCTATTTCCAGGTTTCCATGTTTCTGTTTTTTGTTTCTTTTTTGGCGTCTTTTGCACTACTTGTGTGTTTTTTGCACTATGTGGTGTGTTTCTACACCGTTTTGGTCCCAACAGAGTCGAGCTGTGGACGTACACTCTCTGCCCCAGTTACATTGACATTTGGCTGCTTCTGCTTAGCGAGTGCAGAGGAGTCTTAAAACAGTGTCATCATCATAGTTTTCTTTTTATCTCAATAACCAGATCATCACTTAATCCATTTCCTACACAAAACACAGCTAAAGAGAGAGAGCTAGCCTGTTTTCTTTCCCTGCTAATAAAGCTGACACAATGTCTTATCGTCATGGTGGGTTTTAATTTGTAAATTACCATATTTTTAACCCTTGTGTGGTGTTCAGGTCTGTGGGACCCATTTTCAATGTTTACCAAAAGAAAAAATGATGATTTATTATTATTTCATCCTCAGATTCTTGTTCTTTGCTCATTTTCTGTGAAGAATATATAAAATAACCCATTTTCAGTGTCTTCACTCTGTTCACCCCCCACACATTTATACTACACATGTGGTGTTGGGTGAACCCGCAGGGAGTAAAAGTGTGGAGGTGCTGTGTCCTTCACTCTGTTCTCCTCCTACATGGCCTCCTGTTAGTGTGTGTGTGTTTGTATATGTGTGTGTGTGTGTGAGGGTGGACAACATGGACAGGCTGCTGACTGGCTACAGCTGCTAAAGGAGAACCCTACACTGGACACTTGTGATATTTTTAAACATCTGGTATTTTTATAGAAATTGTTATGACTGTATTAATTTAAACAAACAGTAATGCTGTGGGTCCACCAGACCACTGAGTAACAAACACATCAACACCACACAAGGGTTAAATGCCATATTATCAGTATGCCAAAGCTAAAATCCATTCAGTGTAAGTCATGTAGCCCAATAGTACGCGGGTACACTGTCTTTACTCATCAATCCAACAAAACATTGTCGTGGCAAAAAAGGCTGTCGTGCATGTCTTCTCCTTTTTGTTTCTCTTTTTGTTTATGTCACTAAGAAGTACCTCAAACTAAGCCTTTCATTATACACTGATCAGGCATAACATTCTGACCACCTCCTTGTTTCTACACTCATTGTCCATTTTATCAGCTCCACTTACTATATAGGTGCACTTTGTAGTTCTACAGTTACAGACTGTAGTCCATCTGTTTCTCTGATACTTTGTTAGCCCCCTTTTACCCTGTCCTTCAGTGGTCAGGACCCCCATGGACCCTCACAGAGCAGGTACTATTTGGGTGGTGGATCATTCTCAGCACTGCAGTAACACTGATGTGGTGGTGGTGTGTTAGTGTGTGTTGCGCTGGTCTGAGTGGATCAGACTCAGCAGTGCTGCTGGAGTTTTTAAACACCTCAGTGTCACTGCTGGACTGAGAATAGTCCACCAACCAAAAATATCCAGTCAACAGCGTCCTGTGGGCAGCGTCCTGTGACCACTGATGAAGGACTAGAGGATGACCAACACAATCTGTGCAGCAGCAGATGAGCTATCGTCTCTGACTTTACATCTACAAGGTGGACTGACAAGGTAGGAATGTCTAATAGAGTGGACAGTGAGTGGACACAGTGTTTAAAAACTCCAGCAGCACTGCTGTGTCTGATCCACTCAGACCAGCACAACACACACTAACACACTACAAAGTGCACCTATATAGTAAGTGGAGCTGATAAAATGGACAATGAGCGTAGAAACAAGGAGGTGGTCAGAACGTTATGCCTGATCGGTGTATATACTCATATTTTCTGTGCGTAAGACAAGAAAGAACTTCACTTTTTTAAGTAGCATGCTAAAATGCTAACATGCTGCCATCTTGTGGCAATATGAAATGCTTTTCATATTTTCATTCACATTTTTTTTTCCTGATAGTGTTTATGACTAGAAAGAGAAGATGTGGGTACATTCTATACATATATGAAATCACATGTCACATGTCTATGTATGTATGTCTGTATATAAACATCATGTTTTTGGCTGATCTGCTCTGTGGTTAGCTAGATAAGCTAAAGTGGAAACACTGATGTGTGATTGTTGTGCTTGCAGTCAGCAGTGACATTAACGCCATACTGGGTAAGTAAGAGACGTGACATCACACACAGAGTGAAATACACAAATCTATTTATCCAGAAAACACTAATGATCTGTCCGTTCATCTCTCTGTTCTCGTCTCCTCAGGTGATCACACCAAAGCTCTGATCGGTCAGCTGATCATCTTTAATCAGATCATGGGAGAGCTGAGAGAGGACATCAGGGAGCAGGTGAGCTAAAACAGAGAGATGGACTGAAAGAAACATGACCGATGAGGGGTTTAAGTGATAATCCAAGATTTTGGACAAGATTTGGGACAAGAAGTCAGTCCCTCACACTCATAACTGCAGAACTTACATATTAGTTTCATTGTAGATACTGAATAATTTGTAGTGGATACTGAATAATACTATATCGTATGGGTCCCAGAATAGAATAGAATAGAACAGAACAGAATAATAATTAGTTAATAATTTTAGTCGTTCCTAAAGAAAATCTTAGTAGTACCAAATAATTCATAATAGATGCTGAATAATTCATAATACATGCTGAACAATTCATAGTAGATGCTGAATAATTCATAGTAGATGCTGAATAATTCATAATAGATGCTGAACAATTCATAGTAGATGCTGAATAATTCATAGTAGATGCTGAATAATTCATAATAGATGCTGAATAATTCATAGTAGATGCTGAATAATTCATAATAGATGCTCAATAATTCTTAGTAGATGCTGAATAATTCATAGTAGATGCTGAATAATTCATAGTAGATGCTGAATAATTCATAGTAGATGCTGAATAATTCATAATAGATGCTGAATAATTCATAGTAGATGCTGAATAATTCATAATAGATGCTAAATAATTCATAGTAGTTACTGAATAATTCATAGTAGATGCTGAATAATTCATAATAGATGCTAAATAATTCATAGTAGATGCTGAATAATTCATAGTAGATGCTGAATAATTCATAATAGATGCTGAATATAAATAGTAGATGCTGAATAATTCATAGTAGATGCTGAACAATTCATAATAGATGCTGAACAATTCATAGTAGATGCTGAATAATTCATAGTAGATGCTGAATAATTCATAATAGATGCTGAATAATTCATAGTAGATGCTGAATAATTCATAGTAGATGCTAAATAATTCATAGTAGATGCTGAATAATTCATAGTAGATGCTGAATAATTCATAATAGATGCTGAATAATTCATAGTAGATGCTGAACAATTCATAATAGATGCTGAATAATTCATAGTAGATGCTGAATAATTCATAATAGATGCTGAATAATTCATAGTAGATGCTGAATAATTCATAGTAGATGCTGAATAATTCATAATAGATGCTGAATATAAATAGTAGATGCTGAATAATTCATAGTAGATGCTGAATAATTCATAATAGATGCTGAATAATTCATAGTAGATGCTGAACAATTCATAATAGATGCTGAATAATTCATAGTAGATGCTGAACAATTCATAATAGATGCTGAATATAAATAGTAGATGCTGAATAATTCATAGTAGATGCTGAATAATTCATAGTAGCTGCTGAATAATTCATAGTAGATGCTGAATAATTCATAGTAGATGCTGAATAATTCATAGTAGATGCTAAATAATTCATAGTAGATGCTGAATAATTCATAATAGATGCTGAATAATTTATAGTACATGCTGAATAATTCATAGTAGATGCTAAATAATTCATAGTAGATGCTGAATAATTCCTAATAGATGCTGAATAATTCATAGTAGATGCTAAATAATTCATTGTAGATGCTGAATAATTCTTAGTAGATGCCGAATAATTCATAATAGATGCTGAATAATTCATAATAGATGCTGAATAATTCATAGTAGATGCTGAATAGTTAATAATAGATGCTGAATAATTCATAGTAGATGCTGAATAATTCATAATCGATGCTGAATAATTCATAATAGATGCTGAATAATTCATAGTAGATGCTGAATAATTCATAGTAGATGCTGAATAGTTCATAATAGATGCTGAATAATTCATAGTAGATGCTGAATAATTCATAGTAGATGCTGAATAATTCATAATCAATGCTGAATAATTCATAGTAGATGCTGAATAATTCATAGTAGATGCTGAATAATTTATAGTAGTTACTGAGTAACTCATAGTAAATACTGTATAATTCGTAGTGGTTACTGAATCATTTATAGCACTTAGTTAATAATTTATAGTCGTTCGTAAATAATTCTCAGTAGTGCCAAATAATCATTAGAAGTTACTAAATAATTCATAGCAGTTACTGAATAATTCATAGTAAATACTGAGTGAAATATTACAGTTACTAGATCATTCACAGTAGATTCTATTTAATAATATATACTGAATAATTAATTAAAGTAAATGAATACTTCATAGTAGATCCTTAAAAATGTAAAGAAATTGTTATAAACAGATAAACGGGAGAAAAAAGACAAAAAATGATGAAATGTAGATGGTAACGTGTTTTCTTTGCTTCATCTGTATTGTTGGGCTATCGTTTAATATGATATTTGATGTCCTTCACAGACGAAGGAGATGTCTCTGATCAGAAACACCATCCTGGAATGCCAAGTGTGTGGTGAGTGATGGGAGGAGATATGGTGGAGATGCTGTATAATAAAGGGGGAGATAGATGGAGACGTTAAAGCAGAAAGTAGGACGGAACTGCTCGAATGGATCATCTGGTCATTTGTTAAGCAACGTGAAATATTCATTTAGATATTGAGGAACCAGGTGACATTGAAAGAAAAGCTAGCATATCAAACTTCAATGCTGAGAGAAGGCAGAGAAATAGACACAGACAGCATATCGTAAAAGGTTTTTTCACTAAATGATGTGGATGAGCTGGATATCTGTGATCTTTTGCTTATTTTTATTTAATAGAATCATCATATTTGTTGTTTTTAAACAGGTATTGTAGTAATACTCCTATTTCATTGTTAAAAATGGGTTGAAAAGAAAAGGGTTAAGTTCTTGAAATGCCTAACAGAAAATTATCCAATCAGGATTGTTCTCTCTGTGGTATCTAGGTAGATACAGCCAAGCTGCTCTCCCATTGGTTAGGGCTTCAGAAACTGGACTGAAGGCCTTACATTTCAAATTAACTACTAACATAATTTGGGAAGTGACAGAGGAATGAACTGATCATGATTTAATTCACAGTGGGACTAATTTAGTGAGAAAAAACGTCACTCTGAAAGGCAACGGAAAACTGGAAAAAATGGACCATTCTTTTTAAAGACAGAGGCAACAGGAATTAAATTACATGTGCTGAAAGAAATAAAAAACTGTCACTGATACGAGTCGTAGTCTAAGCAGATGTCCTAGGTAGTTGTTTAGAATGGAAAACAGCGGCAGCAGCTCTACATCAGAACTGTGTACTGAAAGAGTCACTGTAAAACTGATACATACAAGCCCAGATATATGATAATGTCTGTTACAAGCTTCACATAAAACACACGGAATGTCATTTCAGCTATGAATCATAGTAATTCTCTTATAAATCTAACTTACTAAATTTTTATACTCTCATCTCTCCTCATCTGTTTCTCTCTTTACAAGTTCAAGAGCAAGCTCAAGTTCAATGTAGCTTTATTGGCATGACTGTAAGGTCCAGTACTGCCAAAGCATTATAACTGTGACAACAATGGCAATAACAACATTAATATATAACAATAATATATCAAATAATAACAGTAATAACAACAAGGTCACTAGGGTGGGGGTATATGGGGTGAAGTTCTCTGGGGTGGGGGTATATGGGGTGAAGGTCTCTGGGGTGGGGGTATATGGGGTGAAGGTCACGAGGGTGGGGGTATGTGGGGTGAAGGTCTCTGGGGTGGGGGTATGTGGGGTGAAGTTCTCTGGGGTGGGGGTATATGGGGTGAAGGTCTCTGGGGTGGGGGTATATGGGGTGAAGGTCACGAGGGTGGGGGTATGTGGGGTGAAGGTCTCTGGGGTGGGGGTATGTGGGGTGAAGTTCTCTGGGGTGGGGGTATATGGGGTGAAGGTCTCTGGGGTGGGGGTATATGGGGTGAAGGTCACGAGGGTGGGGGGTATGTGGGGTGAAGGTCTCTGGGGTGGGGGTATGTGGGGTGAAGGTCTCTGGGGTGGGGGTATATGGGGTGAAGGTCTCTAGGGTGGGGGTATATGGGGTGAAGGTCTCTGGGGTGGGGGTATGTGGGGTGAAGGTCACTAGGGTGGGGGTATATGGGGTGAAGGTCACTAGGGTGGGGGTGTATGGGATGAAGGTCTCTAGGGTGGGGGGTATGTGGGGTGAAGGTCTCTGCGGTGGGGGTATATGGGGTGAAGGTCTCTAGGGTGGGGGTATGTGGGGTGAAGGTCTCTAGGGTGGGGGTATATGGGGTGAAGTTCTCTGGGGTGGGGGTATATGGGGTGAAGGTCTCTGGGGTGGGGGTATATGGGGTGAAGGTCACGAGGGTGGGGGTATGTGGGGTGAAGGTCTCTGGGGTGGGGGTATGTGGGGTGAAGGTCTCTGGGGTGGGGGTATATGGGGTGAAGGTCTCTAGGGTGGGGGGTATATGGGGTGAAGGTCTCTGGGGTGGGGGTATGTGGGGTGAAGGTCACTAGGGTGGGGGTATATGGGGTGAAGGTCACTAGGGTGGGGGTGTATGGGATGAAGGTCACTAGGGTGGGGGTATATGGGGTGAAGGTCACTAGGGTGGGGGTGTATGGGATGAAGGTCTCTAGGGTGGGGGTATGTGGGGTGAAGGTCTCTGCGGTGGGGGTATATGGGGTGAAGGTCTCTAGGGTGGGGGTATGTGGGGTGATGGTCACTAGGGTGGGGGTATATGGGGTGAAGGTCTCTGCGGTGGGGGTATATGGGCTGGGGATATAGAGAGGGTGGTCACTCAGGTCTCTCTCTCTCTCTCTTTCTCTCTCTCTCTCTCAGGTTTCCATGAGCCCCAGTCCCGCTGTATCCCGAGCCCCTGCTATAAAGGTGTGTCCTGTATGGAGGTGATGGAGTATCCAGGATATCGCTGTGGCCCGTGTCCAGAGGGCATGACCGGCAATGGGACGCACTGCCAGGACATTGACGAGGTGTTAGCCGACATTTTGAATTCTGAATTTAAATCTCGAAATTGTAATGCCCACTCAGCCTGCAGCTGATGGTTTGTTCCATGTGTAAGCGCTCATTTTATTAAAGTAATTGTTTTGTGATGTCATGGAAACCAGCACATTTTAATTATAAAGAGAAGTTATAAGGAGTGTCACAGCCCAGACTGCGTCTTGAAGACTCAACTCAGGGCAGCCAATCAGAACAGAGCTCATTTACAAATATCAGTCTTCAAGGCACAGTAAGAAAAACTACCTATTTAACTCTAAGACATGAAGAGAGGTTGGAAAATGGCCTCGTAAAACCACACAAACATGAATGCAGATACTTGAAGGTGTTGACGGTATTTCTCATTATACTCTCTCTCTCTCTCTCTCTCTCTCTCTCTCTCTCTCTCTCTCTCTCTCTCTGCTCTCTCTCTCTCTCTCTCTCTCTCTGCTCTCTCTGCTCTCTCTCTCTCTCTCTCTCTCTCTGCTCTCTCTCTCTCTCTCTCAGTGTTCCATAGAGCCGTGTTTTTCCTCTCAGGCCTGCGTGAACATGGCTAAAGGTTTCCGCTGTGATCCGTGTCCTGCGGGCTTTTCGGGCCCCGTCCTCAGCGGAGTCGGTCTAGAGTTCGCCAAAAAACACAAACAGGTTAGTCTTCCATCTCCCACTGATGGTGAGGATGATGAGAGCAGTGCTCTCAGACGAAGGTGCAGCTGATTAGGATTTTGTGTGTTTTTCAGGAATGCGTGGATATTGATGAATGTGCGGATCAGACTGGAGCCTGCGTGCCCAACTCGGTCTGCATCAACACAGCAGTGAGTAGAAGTCCTTATTTATGACATGCTGCCTCTGTCAGTTTAAAAGAATTTATATACCACTATGTGTCCAAAAGTTTGTGGACACCAGCGTTTCCTCTGAAATGAGGGGCATTAATAGTGAGTTTGTGGTGCTGTAACAGCCTCTACTCTTCTGGGAAGGCTTTATACTAGATGTTGGAACATTGCTGTGAGGATATGATTGAGCATTAGTGAGGTCAGGTGCTGATGTTGGATGGTCAGTTCTGGATCACTCTGACTCATCCCAAATGTATTGGATGGAGCTTGATCACTCCAGTTCCACTGCTCCACAGCCCAATGCTGGGGGGCTTTATACCCCTCTAGCCCACGCTTGGCATTAGGCATGGTTAGTCTCCAGATCATCCAATTCTATTGGCTTTTCAATCATTAGAAGGACTGTCTGGATATTCATGGACATTTTAAAGAGATCTCACAAAATGCATCGTTTGATTAAATATGATACAGTGACGTCTCTGTTCCCGGTCTCTGTTCCTCAGGGCTCGTTCCGGTGTGGTCAGTGTAAGGCGGGTTTTGTGGGGAATCAGACCACAGGCTGTTTCCTGAGGAGAACCTGCGCTCTGCTGGGCTTCAGCCCCTGCGACGTCAACGCCCACTGCGTGATGGAGCACGGCTCTGACGTCATCTGCATGGTCAGAACACAGAGTCTACCTCAGTATCAGATCAGGGAGTACTGATCATCTAGAACCGTGCAGTGCTGTTCTACACTACAGACTAACAGACATAAATCTCTTACTTTTAAAAATAAACATTATACGTGCTGTTATTAACATACAGTAGAGAGGGAATGAATCATTAAATTAAAAAAATTTAAATCAAATAAAAATTTAATCAAGATAATACGGTGCCATTACAGGAGAGAAACAAAGGAGATACCTAAAAACCTTTTATTATGTAATATGAAGCAAGCATAAGAGTAATATATGCCCTCTATATATGAATGTTTATTAATAATCACAATTATAATAATAATATATTTTTACACATATTTGTTTATATATGGCTGAAATATATTTGCCATATTTGAAATTGGCCATTTTCAAATAAGTTGGCATATATTGTCAGAAATGTGTTCTTTTGAGACAAATATAAGTCAGATAAGGTAAATCAATATTTGGTAATAAATGCCATGTATTAGAAACTTTTACCACTATGAATCTCCATATTATTATTATTATAATGATAACTTAATTTATATAACACTTTCCATACATACATAAAGGCCACTCAAAGTGTTTTACAGTTTATGTGAATAAAGAAGTAAAACAGTTTAAATAAACAATTCAAAGAACAGATTAAGTATTAAATTGTGTATATTGCTCATGTGAAATGTGGTTGTATGTGGGCTGCTAGCTAACCTTAATGTCTCTCTCTCTCTCTCTCTCTCTCTCTCTCAGTGTAATGTGGGTTTTGCGGGTAACGGTAATATCTGTGGGGTGGACTCTGACCTTGATGGCTATCCCGATGAAGCTCTGCCTTGCATGGACAACGACAAACACTGTAGACCCGTAAATATCCTTCATCCTTCGTTAGCGTCCACTTTCCTCTCAAAAATTTGGAGACATTTAGTGTTTCAAAATGTTTTTAATACAAATGAGTATGTTTTCTTATTGATTTGCCATAACTTCCCATATTGAATCGAAAGCTGTTTAAATTTTGCCATTTTTCTTTACAAACAAACCCAGGAGCAGCTGCCAAAAGCCCTACCAGGGGAATAAAGCCAAAATCTACCTGTTTTATCCCCATTTTGTGATGTCAGCACTCAAACCTTTCAGCTGTTTAACCCAGAGTTTCGATACGTGCTTTTAATGATAGTTTAAAAAAGAAAACTGTCAAATCATTATTTAAACCTGCTCTTCATACAGAGAGAGTCACTCTGATGAACATGAAGCTGAGTGTTTATGATAAATCGACTGAAGCATCAGCACAAAATGTTGTGTCCCCAAACTTTTGATGTGCAGCGTACAGACCTCCCTCAAACTTAAACAGGACTTTGGGTGTGTTGCTCTTTCTAACTACTGTTGTACGTCTGTAGGATAACTGCGTGTCCACTCCAAACTCTGGCCAAGAGGACGCGGATGGGGACGGAATTGGCGACCAGTGTGATGAAGACGCAGATGGAGACGGAATAAAGAATGTGGAGGTGTGGCTTTCATTCGCAGCACAAGGCCTGTCACAGTTATTACATAATCGCCTGATTGAAATCAGTTGAGCTGATCGCAGTTATTGTCCATAATCAGCTTTCACAATCGAATAAATATAACTTGGGTGAGTTTTCATCCACCGATTGAGGTAAAAGCATGTAAATAAAAGAAAGCAGAAGTATTAATTAAGGCACATCATGGGTCTCACTTCTGCCATGGCGTTATGACACCTGTAGAGGGCAGCGGTGAGTAACGTTTGTTTATTTTAGCTATTTGGTCGGGAGCTACTGAGTACCAGCGATTTGGAGAGATAGAAATTTGGCCACTTTGGGCTTTTATTTTAATAGTTGTACGAAATAAACAAAAACAAACAATTCAATTGTTAATCACAATTATTTGTAAGGTAATAAATCATCAGGTAAAATTTCAGAGAACTTCGCTGTCTAAAGCTTCGCTCGCTGGTGCCACAGGAACGTTTTAGTCTCTGACCGCCTGCACTCAGCCTGCAACTGCTTTATATGATTATAATTAACTTAATATATTGTATATTATATAATGAACTTTCTATCTGATCTAAATAACTTTTTATGCACTTTTCTATATTTTCTGTTCTTTAATTCATTTCATCATCAGCTTTTACTTTCTTGTTAATACTTAGGTATTGTTTTGTATTTTCTTTTTCAAGAAATTAATTTCTAATTTAATTTAAATGTTATATTACTAATATATTTATTTGATTCGTCAAAATTTATCAATTTATTCTGATTTGATTGATTTTATTACTCTTATTACTACTACTACTACTACTACTATTATTATTATTTTTATTATTATAATTATTATTATTATAAATATTTTATATGCTTATATGAGCTACTTTTTTTCTCATTAGTCTTAGGTCTTCAATCTCTGATCTCTGTATAGACTCAGCTACATTGCAAATGAGGTTCACCCTTGATTTACTCCAAGTTTAAAAGTTGATTGCATGGTTTGTTTATTATAGTGACAATCCTGTGTAGCACATAAGTCACCTTTATCCATAATATTCACTTGGTGTTATATCAAGGTCAGTTAGTTTAATGACAGCAGTGCTCATAGGGTCATTTATTTTTTACTGTTACATTATTTAACAAGACAGACATAGAATTAGAATATTGCTAAGATGTATTGCACAATTTGTGGTTGTAGTAATAATGGAAAAGAAATAAAAAAGATGGTTCTTTTAGGGTTCTTTAGTAAATAAAATGGCTCTATATAGAACCATGAACACTCAAAGAACCTTCAAATAGAATCTTAAAAATGTGCTCTAGATGGTTCTATATATAACCTTTTTGAAAAGGGTTCTATATAGCACCAAATGGTTCTACCATTGTTATGATGTCAAGCTTGTGAGAATAGAACAACCTTTTTCAAAAAGGTTCTATATAGAACCAGCTACAGCACATTCTCCATCAATCTGAAGAGACTTTTCATGATGCAAAGAACCCTTTAATCATGCAAAGGGTTCTCTGAGTGTTCATGGTTCCATATAGAACCGTTTTCTTTATAAAGAACCCTTGAAGAATCATGTTTTGTAAGAGTGTAGGCAGTTAAATAAGTAAATGTAAATTCTGCTGAATTTCGCCTTCAGTAATTTTTTTGGAGCTGAGAAAAATCTATGATTGACCTAAAGCTGGTTAGTGTTTAGTGATTAATAGTTAGTTATTATATTAATTGTACCATCTGCTGCTACGTTTACCTTAAAGGTGCAGTGTGTAAGATTTAGGGGGATCTATTGGCAGAAATGGAATATAGTAAACAGAACCATGTTTTCATTAGTATATAATCACCTGTAACTACGAATCGTTGTGTTTTTGTTAGATTAGAATGAGCCCTTCATATCCACAACATGTTGCGCTGCCATGTTTCTACAGTAGCCCAGAACAGACAAACCAAACACTGCATCTAGAGGGCGCCTTTTCCATTTTTACGCTGAAGCAGCAGCTTGAATTTGGTGGCGCTGTAGCTCCGGTTGATTGATTTATTGTTTGATAGATAGATAGACAGACAGACAGACAGACAGACAGATAGATCACTTTATTGAGCCCAGTACAAAGCACAACAAAGAGCAAAACAAGGGCAAAATGAACAGGAGCAAAGTATTGCTGTACACTATTTACAGATATATAAAGAGAAAGTAGAGATAAATAATAGAATAAAATACAGTAAACAATAAAAGTGATGTGCAGTTCAAAAATACAAAGTAATTGCATGAATACTATGCAGGAGACAGTGCGGTGGTGCCTGTCCCTCCAGGGAATAACCTACTGACTATGGACTGTAGCAATAAATGTTAACAGTTGTACAGTTTACCTTTGACAATTTGACATTTATGGATGCATAAGCGAAGTGACAGTGCAATGTGCAATATTAGTGGACAAATAAACAAAATAAACAAAGTGGCAGTGCAATATGAGTGGCACAGTGTATAATAATGTCCCGGCACAGTGACAAGGTGTTGTACAGTGTGATCGCTGTTGGTACAAAAGGAAGACGTAGAAAGAAAAAGAATCAGTGGTTGCTGCCCATTTTATGTTGTGAGATGTTTAAGAACCAAATTTTGACAAATGGAGGATCAAACTCATTATTTAGCAGAAGATGTGTTAAATAATGTGAATCCTCGGCATCAAAGGAGTGAAAACATGGAACAAATCAGGACAGGCAACAGCAGAAAACCTGATCACCACTGTAGGTTCTACTACACGCTTGGAAAGGGAGGGGTGAGGGAGGGGGACTCAGCTGGTTGCAATCTGCAAGATACCACTAAATCGTACACACTGCACCTTTAATTAAGGCTGTAATCTTTGTGCTTTTAGTTATGTGAGTTGTATTTGGACCGTTTTAGGATAACTGTCGGTTGGTGCCCAATAAGGATCAGCAGAACTCAGACACAGACTCTTTCGGGGATGCCTGTGATAACTGCCCCAACGCCCCTAACGCTGACCAACTGGACACTGACGGCAACGGAGCGGGAGACATCTGTGACAACGACATTGATGGAGACGGTACGGTCAGCGCTGTTTATCTCATCAGACTTATTGTGGTGAAGATAGCTCGCGATTGGTGATTCAGGATGTACTTCCTGCAGGCCCATCTCTGCTGCTCCATGTGAAATGGTAGGGTATTGCGATTAGCAGCCTAAGCACTGACATGTCAGTGGGTGACCAGACGTCCCCGTTTTCTGGGGACTGTTTACGGTGTCCTGTCCCCAGCTAGAGCTGTAACCAGAAATGCCCTTTTTTTGTGATTTATTTTTTATTATTTTCTATTAAAGAAAGAAATGTCCCCGGTTTTAGCTATAAATTAAAAACTCACTCAAGTCCTAAGAAAGACCTGCAGCAGAGCAGACGGTCAGACGTCTCATGTTGTGCTTGTTTCGGCCAGCAGAGGGGGCTGCTGATGCTGTCTACTGACCACTTCTACCACTAGCTCACCTAGCTTTAGAGAACACTGCTGTGTAAAAGGTTTGATGTTTTTCCTGCATTTTATTTACTCCATTAAAGTAAATAACAGAAATAACAGTGAATACAAATTCAAATAGCATACCTGAGAAAACAATGAAGATTTTAAGATTATCTAAAGAGAATATTTGAGAACTTGCAGCTATGAACTTCTTATTGTCTGTCTTAAGAACCTTTGCAAGTCTTTTTTTAAGAAAGCTTTCGTGAATGCGGCCCCTGGACGGGCCCATCATCACCCACCGCACGAAAAATAAACCTGACGGGACAGAACCAGATACCATGTAGTGACAACAATAGCTGTTATTAGATCACAAATAAATAATGTCAAGTCAAGTCAAAGTTTATTTATGTAGCGCTTTTTACAACAGGTGTTGTCACAAAGCAGCTTTACAGAAAAATCTGGGTCCGAGCCCCCATGAGCGTCGCCAATGGCGACAGTGGCAAGGAAAAACTCCCTAAGAGCAAGAGGAAGAAACACTGAGAGGAACCAAGACTCAAAAGGGGAACCCATCCTGCTCTGGTCGACACCGGATATCAAACAGTGTTAGTATAAAGTATTAGAATACAAAATGGGGAAAAACAGGTGGAGCAATGGTCAGTTAGATTAGTTTTAGTTTATGCAGCAGCAGCATCATCAGGAGGGTCAGTTCATGAGGGTGAGGTTTGCACAGCGTTGTACAGCATGAAGCTTAGTGGTGGTCAAAACAGTCCAGAAGGCTGGCAAGCAGTGGGTACCTGACCAAGGCAGAGAAGCAACAGCATCAGACCCATAAGATGGGGAGTTGTTCCCCCCATCCTGTATTAAAATTAAATTAAAATCAAATTAAAATCCTTCAACAAATTTATTCGTTTAACTTTCCATTCTGTGCTGTTCTCCAGCTGTGCAGTGAGCCGTCGCCTGTTTAATCTGAAAGATCTTTTTCTGCACATAGAACATCTGGAACATAAGCGGACAGAACATAAAGGTTTTTGGCCAAACAAATTAAACATGATCTTGGCTACACTAAACTGACCTCTCCTGAATCGACTTGCTGTTGATGTCCTGTTTGTCTTACATGGGCCTCAGTGCTGAGTGGGTAACTCCAGCACACCAGGCTAAAAACTATGTAAGGTGGTGAAAGTAGTGAAGTAAGAAGTAAAACTAAAGGAGGAAACGCAGGTAAAGTCTGTTGAGAGCGAGGGGCGGGCCGTAAATCTCGATCCGAGCCACATGTTTGGAAAATTATGTCTGGACCCGACCGACGTTGGCAGTCGGGTCCCATTGATGTCCGACAAATATTTCAAGCTCTCTTTAGGAATCATCCACCTCTTCAATCCTGTTCTGCAGGAATCCCTAACACACTGGACAACTGTCCGAAAATCCCCAACCCCATGCAGACGGACCGCGATGGAGACGGAGTGGGAGATGTGTGTGACACCTGCCCTGAGGTCAATGACCCCACCCAGGTCAGAAATAACAAGCTAATACTGTAAATTGTGCATGTAGAGTACTGAGCAAAAATCAGAAACCACCCTTCGTTTATTTAATTTCCAATCATAACAGCCATTATTAGTTTGTTAATAAACACATACTAAACTGGAAATTACACAGACGCCTCAACAGCTAGATACAACATAAGATGTTTGAGTGGTCAGTGAGTCACTCTTCACCTTTATTCCAGCTTCCATTCTTTTCAGGAGACTCACTTTCAGCTCCTCAAAGAATCTGCAGACACGCCTCCAAAGTTCAGTCTTAGAAGCTGGTTGATCATTTTCTGAATTAATCAAACACATTCAGTGGTGTTGAGGTCTGGACTCTGGGGTGGTCAGTCCATCGTTCAGCTTCTTTGTTTGATGTGTCCGTCTCCTTTTCTCAGTGAGGTTCTTCTTGATCAGCTACACATCCTTTCAGACCCACAGCGCTGAGTCGTCTTCTCACAGTGGAAGGATGGACAGAAACACCTGTGGATGTTTTCAGATCTGAAGCAGCTTGATTTTCTCCTCTCTCTCAAAGATGAAAGCATTAAGTGCTGTTTATCTGATGGGCAGTTTTGGTGTCCACCAGCTCTTCCAGGTGGCTGTTAGGAGCCTCATTTTCTCTGTAGCTTTTCAACCTCCAGTTTTGGAAGCTCCTGTTTTTTCTTGTTTTCATTTGACTCTTTCCTTCGTTATGTAAGCGGATAATCTTATATCTAATCTCTTCAGAAAGATCTCCTGAAAACTAGTAACTTGTACACTCTTAAAAAAGATGGTTTAGTAAAGAAATGGTTCTATATAGAACCATTAACACCCAAAGAACACTTTGCATGGTTAAACGGTTCTTTGCATCATGAAATGGTTCTTCAGATTGATGGAGAATGTGTTATAGATTGTATTGAAAATGGTTCTGAATAGCACCCAAAAGGGTTCTTTCATTGTTACGATGTCAAGCTTGTAACAATGAAAGAACCCTTTTGTGTGTTATATAGAACCCTTTTGATAAGGGTTCTATATAGCACACAGAACCATGTATAGCACATTTTCCATCAATCTGAAGAACCATTTCATGATGCAAAGAATGCTTTAATCGTGCAAAGTGTTCTTTGGGTGTTAATGGATCTATATAGAACTGTTTCCTTTACTAAAGAACCCTTGAAGAACCATCTTTTTTAAGGGTGTACTTAATGGCCGTTTGGACCGGAAATGAAAGGTGGTCTCTGACTTTTGCACAGTTCTGTCGTTTGTAATCATTCAAAAGAAGGAACCCATCCATTGCTAGTTTATTACAGTTACTTTCTTCTGTCGTCACTGATTAGTGATTCACTGCCACATACAAATCACTCACTAATACTCTCATTTTTAGTCGGATACTGACAACGACTTGGTGGGAGACATATGTGACACAAACCAGGACAGGTGAGTAAAAGGCATTTCTGCCACAGAGAGCACAATCAGTGTTTGAACGGCCCATAGAGTGAAAAAACACATGTTCACTTGATGTACTTTGTAAAACTTTACTGAAGTTTCAAACTGTACTAGTCTATGCAGTCAATAATTGGAAAGTAAGCTGCTAAATTAGCCTGTTACGAATTCATCGTAGTTGTGACCTCATAACCATGAACCTATTTACACTTGTACACTCAATCAGAGTTGCTGGACTGTAGAAACAATGATTAAACCTTGTGCTGTTCCTGGCTGTCAGGAAGCAAACAGATCGTTGCGGCTTTCCAAATGTTCTGCACTTCCGAAAGAAACGTCTGAAGTTTATATTTTCCTCGCCCCTCATCCATGAGGATTTCAGCCTGAATCATTTGTTCCACACTTCAGCCCAGACTGCTTATTGAATGAGGCAATAAACAGGCTAATCAAAACAGAGTTAATTTGCATATATCAGTCTTAAAGGCACAGTAACAAAAACAGCCTGTTTAGTTTTTTTTGTTTTTTTTGATCAGCTCTTTTTAGTTTTTTCAAATGTAAGTTTCCAATAAACATGTACACTTTTTCCTTTATTTTATTTATTTTATTTTACCTTTATTTTATCTCCAAAATAAAATGGTAACTTTACAGGAGAAGGAAAAAACCTACTTTACTTTTAATGTAAGTCAATGGAACCAGAATTTTTTCCAAGTCATTTTGAGTTGTTTCTTTTAGTCCATTCATCATGAAATTTACAGACAAATTATGTCAAAAACTGAAAAATGACAGAACTGGAGATATGAGGTTTTCTTCCGACAACAGCGATATATCAGCAGAATATAGTTGATTTGGGACATTATATAAATATATATATATATATGCGTGTGTGTGTGTGTGTGTGTGTGTGTGTGTGTGTGTTTATGTATATATTATGTATGTATTTTGCTGCTGTCGGAACAAAACTTTGTATCTCCAAAATGGTAACTTTACAGGAGAAGCAAAACTGTACTTTACTTTTAATGTAAGTCAATGGAACCAGATTTTTTTCAAGCAATTTTGGGCCGTTTATTTTGGTCCGTTCATCATAAAATTTACAAACAATATAAAGGACAGTAGGAATTTTCAAATTATGTCAAAAACTGAAAAATGTTTTGTTCCGACAGCACTATGTGTGTATGTATAGGTTTAATGTTTGTGTTATAAAGTTAACTAGATATATGTATATAGTACATATATAGTTTGTATATAACACAATAGCACACTAAAACACAAACATGAAACCTGTATATGCATATAACCAATAGGGAACAGCCTGTTTAATTCTAAGGGATAAAGAGAGGTTAGAAAAGAAGGAACATCACAACACAAACTTCATTACTGGGCAGAAAAAAAATAATACAAGAAATACAAGAAAGAAGTAGAATATATACCATTTAAAAGATTTGTCATTTGAGCCACCGTCTCCGAGTGCTCAGATATGAATCCATGTGAATCACTGCTTTTACACTGTGTCCCTCTGTCTGTCTGCAGTGATGGTGACGGCCTCCAGGACTCGAGAGATAACTGCCCTGAAATCCCCAACAGCTCTCAGCTCAACTCAGACCTCGACGGCGCTGGAGATGAGTGTGATGATGATGATGATAATGATGGAGTTCCAGATATCCTTCCTCCAGGCCCTGATAACTGCAGACTCATTCCCAACCCCAGCCAGAAAGATTCGGACGGTATGATGTGCTGAGTGAAACATGCATGGACACGCAGTCGTAGGCAAACGTTTGATCACTGCTGGTCACGTTACATGTTTTGTTCATTTTCTAAGTGAAAATAAGTTAAAATCCTCTACAGAAAACACTGAAATACAGGATTTTTCTGCACAATTCAATGCACAGTTTCTATTAGTTTGCTGAGTTTAGCACATCAGAAAAAAATATTTTAAATGTGCTGTAACTTTTACACAGGCCACATTTTGTTTCATTTCTGCCCAACCTGTAAAATTCAGTAAATAAACAGTAATTGTGCATTAAAATGTGCAGAAGTGTGTCTCTGTAGAGGAAGTGTTCACTTTTTTTACACTTAGCAAATCAACACAACATGGAATTTCATCCAGGGGTGCCCAAACTTTTGCATACAACTGTGCATACTATATAGCAGAGCTGAATTAGCGACTCAGACTCAGACTTCACTGACTCGCAACTTGACTCTGACTCACTTGACTGTGAAGATCTATGCAATATAGAAATGCATAAGCCAGGGGTCGCAACCTAAATGTTAAGAAGAGCCATTTTGTCCTTTCAACTAAAATCAAACCACCTTGTGAGCCGCAACATTTTATATCCATTTTACCATCTTGGCTGTAAATATATCTCAGTATGTCTCAGTATGTGCTGATGTACTAGTATAGGCTAAAACGTACAATATAAACGAAAACACAGAGTTACTCTGCTCTGCTTTAAGCTTTAGCTCAGCTATAGCTGCTTTTCTCGCATCTCCAGCAGGAAACTTTTCCTCAAAAGCAGAACAGTTTCTTGTAAAATGTCTCTCAACGTTCGACTTTTTACGAGACTGAAGTCGCTTCTCATTCGCCAGCTTCTTGTTCGAATTGTCCCGTTCTACCTTAAATGGTGCCTGAGGCGCCAGAATGTAACTGCTGCACTATTCGAATGAAAAGCTGGTGAATGCGAAACTTCAGCTTTGTGACTTTTTAGTGTTTGTCAGTTTCTCGTTGCAGATTAAACGTATCAGGAAACCAACTGGAGTGATTATAAATGCAAATAAGTCTGTTCATCTCCAAATTATCGATGTTCGTCTTAAATCTTTCTCTTTGCCTTTTCATTAGCTATTAGCTAGGCAAGATTGTTGTCTGTGTTGCTATGGTGACAACAGTCTGCGCTGATCTTCAGGGTTAAAGGGTGAATTAGCAGTTCTACATTAACTCCAGAGTTTAAGACCATTTATTGTTAAACTGTGTTGAACGATCAGCAGAGCTTTATTTTACTGTAAAGGAGGATTATTTTATTTTTACCTACAAATCAGATTCTGCTGTGGAGCCACAACAGGGCAGTAAAAGAGCCGCACATTGCCGACCCCTGGCATAAGGGCTAACATACATATTGCGTATGTCCATGTGTAGATATACACACAAACAAATAACCAACGTTTCAAAATGCGTATCTGTTTATTTGTCCAAAAGTTTGTAGACATAAGCTCCTCCGGCGTTTCTTCTGAAATTAAGAGTATTAATAGAGAGTTTGACCTATAGTAACAGCCTCGACTCTTCTGGTTAGGCTAGATGTTGGAACATTGCTGTGAGAATCTGATTGCATTCAGCCAAAAGAGCACTGATGATGTCAGGTACAGAGTGCCTGAATCTCCCTGCGGGGATCGGTAAGGGTTTTATTATTTCTTTTCCGTTCAGGTGATGGTGTTGGTGACGTGTGTGAGACTGACTTTGATAACGATAAAGTGAATGACCTGGTGGACGTTTGCCCTGAAAGTGCTGAGGTCACCATGACGGACTTCAGAGCCTTCCAGACGGTCATCCTGGACCCAGAGGGTGATGCGCAGATCGACCCCAACTGGGTGGTGCTCAATCAGGTGACCACTTTGACACAATTAGTCAGGTGCAAGGTTGGACAAGTTTCACTGAATGCTGTTAAAACCCCATTCAACACTATGTAGCACCAAAAAGGGTTCTTCTATGGTTACTAGCTCATTCTGTAACAATGGCAGAACCCTTTTTGGTGCTATATAGAACCTTTTTCAAAAAGGTTCTACGTAAAACCATATACAGCACATTCTCCATCAATGTGAAGAACCCTTTCACGATGCATTTAATCATGTAAAGGGTTCTTTGAGTGTTCATGGTTCTATATAGAACCTTTTTTTTTACTAAGGAACCTTTGAAGAACCTTTGAAAATAATGAGATATTGACACAGAAGAAATAAATTAATTCCTCTCGTCTGTCCTCACACTGTAAAAAATGATATCTCGTCAAGTACGATTATCTTAAAAATAGTCAATAAATCTGATATCTCTCCAGCTGAGATTTCGTAAACTTAATTTTAAGATTATTATAAGATTATCTATCTTATTTCTAGACATTTGTACTTGTTTTAAGTAATTTTATGAAGTAAAATTATCTCACTATCCATGGTTTTCTTCTAATCTCAACAGCAGTTGCCATGACATCCCAACATTTCCTCTAGAATGGGCTAAACTTCTATGTAACGCTTTTCACTGAGAGTAACTACTATACACAAAGGCAAGCACAGATAAGAATGTCAGTGTCGAAGGCGAGGCCAAAAGAGCACGGCTAACGGCACTGAATTTAAAAATCCCCTCCGAAATATTCATGTTTGCTCCTTCCAATTTGTGATAAAACATAATAAATGCATCAGAGATAAATTCTGATGAACAAAGCGAATGAAGAATGCACACCTGATGGTATTTTAGTTGGCCTACGAAATACTCTGCTACTGCAGTGCTAAACTAATAAACCATTACGGCTGCTGTGGCAAAATAACCTATTCTAATGTTTCTCAGAGTAAATGCATCTTAGCCTGCTGTGTATTCTAGTTTCATTTAAAATCCCAAACCTACTTTCTACAACACAGCAGCGACGTGGCTACAAGATCTGCCCGGACCAACGATGCAAGACCATCCTGCTGTCTCTAGTACACCGTTGTTTTGAACCATAACCCATGCTGAGTAGTTAGGTTTCCTGACCGACTGGCCTGGCTGCACTTCAGCTTTGAGAAACGTGAACTGTTCACAATTGTAACACAGAACCCTTACAGTATTATTGCTGTGTAGATAATTATAAGCTTCTTTGCTTTTATAATTTCTCAGCTCTTCATCGTCTACACCAGAGGTCACTAATTGGCGGACCGCGGTCCGAGTCCGGACCCAGACTCTGTCCTATGCGGACCTGGACCTATAACCGATAAACTGTGGAGAATTATTTAATTTCGATGGGGTGGTCCTATTTTGATCGTAGCTTTTCTAGCATTTACGGTAGCTCTAGCGGCCCGGGAGACTCACAGACCAATCGCATGCGTCGTAAATATCACACATGATGCTACTCAGCCAATCAAATCTGTGCATTACGATGAGCACTGAGACTCGAATGAGTGATGCTCACACAGGGGAGGGACGAGGCGAGAAACAGCAGTCAGAGAAGAAAGTGAGTCAGATTATTTTACATTTTTGCGGCTCTAAAAAGAGAAAACTGACAATAAACGTTGAAATGTTATTGAATTAAACTTCATTTGATTTGACATTCAGTTGTTGACTGTATGAGATGTTGATAGACCTACTAGGCTACTTCAGTAAACGGTATACGGCACTGAATCATGATGCAAGTTAGACATAATGATGTTCCGGACCTTTACTTGAGGAAATGTTCTCTAATTGGACCATTGAATTTTAATTACATACCCCTGAGCTACACCTTCAGAAAAAACAAGGTAGTTGATAATGTCAACATACATGATGTCTGGCCAGTGTAATGGTAAATGTTGTTGTCTAGGAAAACCGTGGATATTGGCAGATAATTTTGCTTGTTGTAAGAAATGTGCTAGTTCAGTCAGATAATCTTAATTACCTAAAACAAGTGAATAATTGCATTCTATATAGAACTTGTTTTTTTACTAAGGAACCTTTGAAGAACTTTTTTTAAAAGTGAAAATAATGAGATATTGACACAGAAGAAATAAATTAATTCCCCTCGTCTGTCCTCACACTGTAAAAAATGATATCTCGTCAAGCACGATTATCTTAAAAATAGTCAATAAATCTGATATCTCTCCAGTTGAGATTTCGTAAACTTAATTTTAAGATTTTTATAAGATTATCTATCTTATTTCTAGACATTTTTACTTGTTTTAAGTAATTTTATGAAGTAAAATTATCTCACTATCCATGGTTTTCTTCTAATCTCAACAGCAGTTGCCATGACATCCCAACATTTCCTCTAGAATGGGCTAAACTTCCATGTAATGCTTTTCACTGAGAGTAACTGCTATGCTATCAAACTGTCTCAAAAGCACAGGAACATTATGTGAAAAACAAGTGAATAATGTCTAGAAATAGGCTGGATAATCTTAAAATAAATGTACAGTCATCTCAAACTGGGAAATATTAGATATATTGACTAGATTTAAGATCATTTCAATGACAAGATCCCATTCTTTGCAGTGCAGAGTGCCTTTCACACAAATACAAACTAAAATTAATTTGATATGAAAGCCAATTTTGCAACAGTTGCTGTGAAAGAATGCATTTGAGCTTGAATCAGTCATTTGAGAATTATCTGGGCATAAATTTGTTTGCATTTGCGTGCTGTTTACCTCCAGGCTGTACGGTGTGTGTTGCTCTGTCATTCTCTGTAGCTTTAGTGGTGTCTCTCTGACTGTAGGGGATGGAGATAGTACAGACTATGAACAGTGACCCGGGTTTGGCTGTGGGTAAGTCTGCCAGCACCTCTCTTTTTTCAGTTTTGAGTGTTTATTTATAATTACCAGTTATGAATGTTTATCACAGTGTCACTTTGAAATGAGTGTAAAAGCAGTAAACCTTTCTGAACATTGGAATTTTTAAACTTTCTCAGTTCTCATTGTGTACAATACGTTGCAGCCACCCTCGATCTGAGCACTAACAATAGTGTTCTTCAGTCATGTTTTGATGTTTCACAATGCTGACACACCAACTTTTTGCAATTTCCCACCCCTTATACAGAGTGTAGTCAAAGGCCCAGTCCCATTTCTTCTTTTTACCCCTACCCCTTGTTTTTGACTCCTTGCCCCTTGGAACTGAGTTACAGGGTAGTGGTTGAAATCTTCCATCTGAAATGGGACCCTCAAATAAAAAGAGCATCACTTCATTAACAGCTACCAGCGCTGCTCTGTAGGCGACCCTGCCAGTCTGCAGTGACAGCAGAGGAGGGTAAAGTTCAGCTGCTCACTGCTGGGCTTTAGTTACATTTAGGGCATCATATGCCTTCAAAGGGGGGGCAATTATTTATTATCACCCACCCCTAATTCTTCAGTGATATGAAGCTGAACTCAGATATTCACCAACTTCTTGTTCGAATTTTCCTGTTCCACCTTAAATAGAGCAGCAGTTCTGGCGCTTCAGGAGTCAGAACTGCTGGACTATTTAAGGTGGAACGGGAAATTTAGCTAGTTACCGAGATATTAGCAGACTGTTAGCGATTTTTTATGCTTGTTAGGCAGAAAAGGACCATAATACACTAAAACAATATTAATATAATGGTTACTGTCATTTTTAACAGAGAAAATAGATTTGTGGGTTTCTTTGTTCTCTCGTGTAGCCTTTTGCCAGTTTTTCTTTTTTTTTCTCATAACACTCTGTTTATAGTGTCTTTGGAAAACCTCCGTTTGGAGGGTTATGTAGCCCCAACACTTCACCCTGCCCCTTTATCTCAACAAGAATCAGGACACCCTACCACCAGATGTGAAAGCGCAAAAAAAAAACGTAGGGGTGGGGCTAAGTGGTAGGTGCAAGGAGTGAAATGGGATTGGACCAATCAGACATGTGGTGTCTTTAATTTTGCACTTGAGCTACGAGGCTTCTCATTCAAGAAGAAATAAAAGCTTGTGCTCCAACAATGAGCATTACGCTAATTACATACACTGTTAAATAAATCCTGTTAAAAAAATATGGAAAATCATACTGACAAAAAAAAAGATAACAGACAATTCTGTCACTCACAAAAAATTCTGTTAGCTCCCGAGTGGCGCAACCGTCTAAGCGTTGGCCCTGTCATCAGGAGATCGCGAGTTCGATCCCTGGTGATGCTACAGCCGTCCGTAGCCGGGAGTCCGAGAGAGCATAATTGGCCTCGCTCTCTCTGGGTGGGTGGGATGGCCCCTCCTTCTCCCCCCCCATCACTCAGCGCGATGCTAGTCAGCGCAGGCGTCTGTTAGCTGACGTAACAGATCTGGCGGTTGGCGCTTTCCTCCGAGCGCGTTCGGCTGTCCAGTGATGTTGCGTGAACGGCAGCTCGGAAAGAAGCGGTGGCTGGTCACAGGTCTCGGAGGAAGCCTGTGTTAGCCTTCACCCTCCTAGCGTTGATAGCATCGTGTGATTGGGGGAGTCCTAACTAGCGGGTGGAATTGGAGACGACTAAATTGGGGAGAAAATCGGGTAAAAAAAAAACAGTTAAATTACAGTACATTTTCTGTGTATTTACAGGACAATTCCTTTAGTTCATATACAAAACATTGAGTGATTTCATGGTTTTATCTGTAAACACATTTTTTCAACTCAAAATAGAAACATTTTCCATATTCTATCTATAAAAGTGTATAAAAATGCTGTTTTAAAAGATGAACAAAAGTACAGAAGTCAAGCTACAAGTCAACTACAGAAACAAACTTCAAACGTGTTTGATTACATTTGGAGTAATTGGGAAAAACTGAAAATTTGATTCTTTGCTGGACTGTCCCTTCCAGGCTACACGGCATTTAATGGTGTTGACTTTGAGGGCACCTTCCATGTGAACACAGCCACCGACGACGACTACGTGGGCTTCATCTTCGGCTACCAGGACTCGTCCAGTTTCTACGTGGTGATGTGGAAGCAGACGGGGCAGGTGTACTGGCAGAACCTGCCGTTCAGAGCGTCAGCCCAGCCGGCCCTGCAGCTGAAGGTGCTCACTGTGGTCACTGTGCACTGAAACTGATTACGCTGAGGTTTGCTTGCTGTCTGAAACTGACTGGGATGATAAAATAAGTGCTACGTTGGAACAATTAACCCTATAACTCTCCATTAAGCCTTAAACATACCTCAGGTTGCCAGGGACTTCATTTCCCCTCTTATGTTTTTAAAGATATGTGAAAAGCAAAACATCAAAATATAATTAACTATAATGGTTAACGGTAGTTTATACATCAGTTTAACTACTCAATTTTTGTCAATGTTTATTATTTATGTCCAATATTTCGTGGCCCTGAGAGGCAAGAGGTGAGGTAGCCCAGAAAGCTAAAACCTAAACTGAAGGAGCAAACATTAACAAATGACCACGAGGAGTAGTGTGGGAAATCAGAGACATTCCACAATGAAATAAACATAAACATATATACTCACTTCCACTTTATCAGAAACACTTAACTTGTAGCTTCACCTTGCTGGTCAGCAGGGTCCTGTGGTCAGTAACTGACCAGTGATGAATGGGGGGGGTGATGAATTGGGCAGCAACAGATGGACTACAATCTGTAATTGTACACAATATAGTGGAAGCGCGATGTAGGTGTTTCCAATAAAGTGGCCAGTGAGCGGAAGTACAGGGTAGGCGTTTCTAATAAAGTGGCCAGTGGGAGGCATTTCTAATAAAGTGGCCAGTGAGTGGAAGCACAAAGTAGATGTTTCTAATAAAGTGGCCAGTGAGTGGAAGCACAATGTAGATGTTTCTAATAAAGTGGCCAGTGAGTGGAAGCACAATGTAGATGTTTCTAATAAAGTGGCCAGTGAGTGGAAGCACAAGGTAGGTGTTTCTAATAAAGTGGCCAGTGAGTGGAAGCACAAGGTCGATGTTTCTAATAAAGTGGCCAGTGTTTATAATATTACAAAGCAAAATGTTAGAGTGGGTGTATTCAGAGTCATTTGAATTTGATGGTTTATTTATTTGCTGTATTGCCCACTAATCGCCTCCCACTCCTCTTTCCCCTCTGGGCCGCCCCAGGCGGTGAAGTCCCGTACCGGGCCAGGGGAGTACCTGAGGAACGCTCTGTGGCACACAGGAGACACCCCTGGGGAGACCACCCTGTTATGGAAGGACCCCCGGAACGTGGGCTGGAGAGACAAAACATCGTACCGCTGGCAACTCAGCCACCGGCCACAGGTGGGCTACATCAGGTAAGAACAGAACCGATTCAATCAATCCGTCAGTAAAAGCCATTCAAGGAAAGGCGAATGTTAAGAAGTAAATAAAAATACTCAGTTAAAGTTAGATACAGTACTCAGTCTCAAGCATCTGAGAAAATTGTTTAAAACTGTTTGACTGGGCCGTAAGTGTGCTTTTGCCAGAAAATGACGTTATAATAAATACTAATGAATACAATAAAGCATAAGACGCATGTGTTGTTTTCAGTAAAATTATGAATATGTAGGTTAGAGGAACACAGGTTTAGTTCCTGACTTCTTGCTGCTCTTCAGCCATCACATGGATTTGTTCAATTCTATTTCAACTCCCTTAATTCGCCAGGGCCCAGCAGCGGTGCCAAAGTTTCATTACGCGCTTCTATAACCCAAGAATAGCTCAGCCAGTTTGCATTGAACTCCCTGTAGTTGCTGAATAATAAGCCTGAGATTTTAATGCATTAATGAAGGGCTGCTTAGATAAACCAGGTACTGGACGGTAACTGAGGTTTTTCGAGGAATGCTTTGTACATGGTTAAGCTAACACACACACAGAACAATCATAATGGATTGTTTTGTTATTTAGGAAAGTCAGTCAAGAACTCCATACATGATTATGTACTGCTGTTCGGGCTTTAACTGTGAGTAGAGCAGTGTGAGTGCTGGGTAAGTGTGAGTAATATCCGGCTATACGTGTTTTTAGAGTGAAGCTGTATGAAGGTAACGCTCTGGTAGCGGACTCAGGCGTGGTGATTGACACGTCAATGAGAGGCGGGCGACTCGGTGTGTTCTGCTTCTCGCAGGAGAACATCATCTGGTCCAACCTGGGATACCGCTGTAACGGTGGGTACAGTAGATCCTCACTCATACTCCAAACTTGTCACTCGGAATGGGATGATTTGACATCAGTATAGAAAATGATCACGGTTTTACTAATTACAACTTTTTAGGAGCAGTTATGCAGGTTTATGCCAGGCATTATAAAGTATTATGAATGCCAGACAACACCTTATGAATGCATTCATAAAGTATTACAATAACAGGATTCATAGGAAGTGTTACTGAAATATTAAACTCACTGGCCACTTTATTAGAAACACCTACCTTGTGTTTCCACACTGGCCACTTTATTAGAAACACCTACCTTGTTCTTCCACTAAGTCCCTGCTTAATTGGAAACACCTCCCTTGTACTTTCACACTGGCCGCTTTATTAGAAACACCTACCTTGTACTGATCCTAGAAAAAAATCATACATGTATTGTGAATTGCTTAAGTTTAAAAATGTTTTATGCTTATTAAAAAGCACTTATACATCTTGAAATCACACCACAGGTTCTATACTGACAGCCTTTTCATTGGCCTGAAATGAACTACAATTTAAAGAAGCACATCATCACCGGCACTACTGCATTTTCAGAGCAGCCGTATCAGTAGAGCTGTTTACTTCCACCAGTACTTTAAAAAAAGCTGACAGTTCAGATTTTTTATATATATATATATATATATATATAAAGCCATATCGTCTTGCTTATTATGTCGCACCTATTATGTATGTCATCACAACTATTTAGGAGTAGTTACGCAGGTTTATGCCAGGCATTATGAAGTATTATGTATGCCAGATAACACATTATGAATGCATTTACAAAGCATTACAAATACAGGATTCATAGGAAGTGTTACTGAAATATTAAACTCACTTTATTAGAAATAACTATCCTGTACTTCCACTCACTGGCCGCTTTATTAGAAGCACCTACCTTGTATTTCCACACTGGTGACTTTATTAGAAACACCTACCTTGTGCTTCCACTCACTGGCCAGTTTATTGGAAACACCTACCTTGTGCTTCCACTAAGTGTCCACTTTATTGGAACACCTACCTTGTACTTCCACTCACTGGCCACTTTATTAGAAACACCTATCTGGTGCCTCCACTAAGTGGCCACTCTATTGGAAACTCCTACCTTGTGCATCCACTCACTGGCCGGTTTATTAGAAACACCTATCTTGTACTTCCACTCACTGGCCACTTTATTGGAAACACGTATGTTTTACTTCCCCTCACTGGCCGCTTTATTAGAAACGCCTACCTTGTACTCATCTTACAAAACATCATATATCTGTTGTGAATTGCTGAAGTTTAAATATTTTTAATGTTTATTTTCTCACCAGATACCATCCCAGATGACTTTTACCTCTACCAGAAACAGATGAGCCTCAGGCTGGGAGCTTAACAGAACATCAGCATCTTTACTAGGGACTTTAAGCAACAACATTATCAGGCCTGAAATAAAACGGTGCTGTTCTCTGTTCTGTGCATGCACAAATTTGACTGTAGCATTGTTTTCTAATACCACAAAACCACTGAAACATGACTTTTTAAAGTATTTTATTTTCAGATTTAAAGCTTTTAACAATATAATACAATAACATTACAAAACACCGACCCCACCATCCTCCAACTGTAATCCAGCCACCCATTAATTATGAAAAAAATAGAGAGGGTCCCTTTAGACGCTGCAAGAACCCAAACCAGGTTAAAACACCTCTTTGCTCCTGGCTCACAACTACACAACCGCTCTGCTGTAATAAGGAACTTCTCTGACAGCCACCGTGTGAAACATGGTGGAGACGCTGATTTCCAGATATCTAGTTAGATTTAGGTCTATTAACCATGCCAGCCATTAAGGCCTGTCACTGAGCGTATACTGAAATCTGAGTGTCCACAGATTACAGTGATGGATTAGTATGTAAGTGTGTACCTAGCTTTTCACAGCACCACCCAAAAATATAGACCAGAAGCACTGCGACAAAGGGCTAAACCAGAATAAGTGTGCCAAAGAGCAATCAATTTATCTCATGATGAAGACAGAGCCGTGGATGTATTGTGTCTCGAATAGTGAAGTCTATGGAGCACCTTGAACTAACTTCCTTTGTTGAAGGACTGTTAATCTCGAGCTCACAGGCCCCTGAAATGACTTCTGTTACGGGTAAAAATAAAACTGAAACAAAGCAGGACTGAAACGTTGAAGGGCCCATATCCCTTTATTGTAGTGTAGCCCACCCCATTGTATTTTAGGTTTTGTCCACTTGAAGTTTGTGAGTTTTATTCACCAAAATCAGTCATAATTAATTTGTACATGAATGCATTATCCTTTAGAATTTAACAGGCAGTTTTTGTTACTGTACCTTTAAGACTGATATATATGTAAACGATCTCTGCTCTGATTGGATACCCTGTATTATGACTCATTCAAAAAAGCAGTCCAAGCTGAAAAACTCCTTATGACATCAGTATGAATGGGCGGAGCTAAACTGTTGTAGGCTGAATAGGCAGATGTAGTTAAAAGAGGTGTTTGTTTTTAGTGACATCCCAAAAACAGTGAATTCAAAATGGGCTATTTTTGTAGTTTAGCTTCCGTATTTTGTCCCTGTCCAAACAAAGACACGTATCTCTATTTTTGTTGATTTTTATTCTTCATTTGAACACGGCTGCTGTCCTTCACATTGTGTAAAAAATAAATGATGAATGGGGCAATGGAAATTCTCCAAAATCACTTGCAATATATATATATATATATATATATATATACATATATATATATATATATATGTATATATGTAGATGTATATAATTTTATCTACTCTAGGTAACGACACTATTCCTTCAGCAAGTTCAGAGCAAGTTTTTCACAGATGCTGTTAGTTGATTTTTCCATTTTTTGAAGAGCCAAAACTGTCAAACTGACAAAGTGCCTGTGGTTTCCGCAGCTACAGCATTAACACAGATCTATTTCTGGTTGCTATAGCAATGCCTACAGTCAGTGATGCTTCCCAATTAACTACAAAGGGCAACCAGTTTGCCTCCGTCCAGCACATGTAAGTGTGTGTCTGTGTCTGTTTGTGTTTCCTGTCTTTTCAGTTTTTGAGGAATCTAAGCTTTGCTAGGGCTGCGCAATATATTGTTTGTTGATGATTATTGTGGTACTGGCCTTTGCAGTATTGATATCACACGGTTGTATTCAAAAGTTTGGGCGCCCCTGCTCAAATTCCATGTATTTCAGTTTTTGTAAGTGATAATAAGTGAACCCGTCCTCCACAGAGACACACTTCTGCACATTTTAATACACAGTTACTGTTTATATGCTGAATTTAACAAATTGGGGAAAAATTGGCCTCTGCGAAAGTTATGGCACATTTTATATTTGATTTTTATTTTTTTGTGGGGGCAGTCGTGGGCTGGAAGGTAGCTGGTTCGATCCCCTGAGCTAACAGTACGTGACTGCAGTGCCCTTGAGCAAGGCACCTAACCCCCAACTGCTCCCCAGTGCGCTGTGGACAGGGCTGCCCACCGCTCTGGGCAAGTGTGCTCACTGCCCCCTAGTGTGTGTATTCACTAGTGTGTATGTGGTGTTTCACTGCACGGTTGGGTCAAAATGCAGAGGTGAAATTTCCCCGTTGTGGGGTGATAAGGATCACTTCATCTTTTGTTTTGCCAGTATGTTAAACTCACCTAATAAATAAAAATTGTGCAGTAAAATTTGTGGAAAAATGTCACATTTAAGTGTGTTCTCTGTAGAGGATGTGTTAACTTATTCACACTTAGAAAATCAACAAAATGCGTAATTTGACCAGGGGGCCCTCACACTAACCGCAGTGTTTACTGTGTGCTGAGATATCCTGACCAATCACAGCCCCGGATGAGTTTCTGTGGGTGTTTTGTTGAATGAGTTTTTAATACATCAGTGTCGTCGTGTCCAGTTCCACTCGCTAGGTCTACCTCTGTGACACGGTGCTAGCAAGCTGGCTAGCAGGTGCTTCTTCCACATCTTTTCGGAAAGCCGCTAACGCAACGTCATTGGAGCGCAACACACTTGGAATAGAACGCTAACTGCTGATTCTGTTACATCAGCTAACACATGCCCGTGATGGCTAGCATCACGCTGAGTGATGGAGGGAGAGGTAGGACCAAAGAGAGAGAGTGAGGACAGTTATGATCTCTTGGACTTCCAAACACGGATGGCTGTGGCATCACTGGGGACCGAACTCGCGATCTCTCGACGACAGAGCCGACAGATGGTTGTGCCACCCGGGAACCTCACAATGGAATATTTTGTCTACATCAGGGGTGTCAAACTCAACCAGTAACTGTGCCATATTAAAAAATCTCATCAAATCTGTGGGCCAGAGACAGAAAAAAATATTAAATTTTTAATTAAGGTTGTGCTGTAACCCGAACTGACCATTGTTTCTCTAAAATATGCTAAATGTCCCCAGGAGCTCAGTCCTTTAAACCTACCTATTTGCCTGAACTAGATACCTGGCGTCCTCTCTTTACTGCAAGTTCAGCTGAAATGCATTTTGGTGAGATGACTGGGGTGGAATTGTGTAGAATTGAGGTGTAGCTGCTGTCCCATAGATTGTTGTTGGGGTAGGGCAGTCTGAGCCCATTACGTTGCAGTGCATGCTGGGGACCGTAGTGCAGCGCACTGTGAAACTGGCTAATATGAATAGAAATTTAAATACTTTTGTAGGCCGGATAGGATTGTGTGACGGGCCTGATCTGGCCTGAGGTCCGGTGTTTGACGCATGGGGTCTACATTATGCAGCCCTAGTGTCTGTGCCCAAACTGGTACGGTCGCGTGCAAAAGTTTGAACACCCCTAGTCAAATGACGTCTTATTGATTTTCTAAGTGTAAATAAGTGAACACATCCTCTACAGAGAACACACTAAATATTACATTTATACACAAATTTTGACGCACAATTTCTATTTGTTTGCTGAGTTTAACATGTTGGAAAAAATAAAACATAAAATACAACATGACATAACTTTTGCACAGGCCACATTTTGTGAGCTGGTTTTTCTCCAATATGTTAAATTCAGTAAATAAACAGTAACCGCGTATTAAAATGTGCAGTAGTGTGTCTCTGTAGAGGAAGCGTCCACTTATTTACACTCAGAAAATCAACAACAATGGGGAATTTGATTAAGGATGTTCAAACTTCTGCACACGACTGCAAGAGGCTCACGTTAGTAAATACTGTATTAAAACTCTTTTATAAAAGTATTATCAATGTAAGTTACACTGCGCACATACACCAATATTTGGTTCTGACTATGGTGCTAAGTGTAGTTCAGGTGTGACGTCTGTACTGTATATAATAATGTTACCAGATTTTGAAGAAGAATTTTTATGGAAGTGCCATAAAACAGAACTGTGTTTGTTTACTGAATGTGCTATTTTGATATGTTTTGAACATGTATGTATGTTTTTTGTACTATATAAACCAGAAAGCCTGAAATTCATTGAAATTGGAATAAAAAACAAAAAAAATGACCAGATCTGTGATGCTGGGTTACTTTTAATCTCAGATTGTTATGTCTCACCCTATGCACGGTTGGATTTTATTTACTATGTATTTTAGTTTTATTTCTCGAGTACGGCCTTCGTATTCAATTTATTTGGGTATAGAAGCCTTTATTTCATGACCTACACATAGCGCAGCTTTATAGGCAGCACTTTACATCAGGCTACAGATAGGATTTGATAGCCTAAATCACCTTTTAAGAAGATGTTACCATCATTAAAAGAATAATTAGGATATTTTGATAGCCTAAATCACCTTATTATGAAAATGTTATCAGCATTAAAAGTATAATCAGGATATTTTGTTAGCCTAAATCATCTTATCAGGACATTTTACCAGTATTAAAAGTATAATTAGAATATTTTAATTGCCTGATTCATTTTATTATGAAATCTTACCAGCATTAAAGTAATAATTAGGATATTTTAATAGCCTAAATCACCTTATCAGGACATTTTACCAGCATTAAAAGAATAATTAGGATATTTTAATGGCCTAAATCACCTAAACAGGAAATGTCACCATCATTAAAAGTATAATTAGAATATTTTAATAACCTAAATCACCTTATCAGAAAATGTTACTGTCATTAAAAGAATAATCAGGATATTTTAATAGACTAAATCACCCTATTATGAAAATGTTATCAGCATTAAAAGTATAATTAGGATATTTTGTTAGCCTAAATCATCTTATCAGAACATTTTACCAGTATTAAAAGTATAAATAGAATATTTTATAGCCTAAATCAGCTTATTATGAAAATGTTACAGCATTAAAAGTATAGTTAGAATATTTTAATAGCCAAATCATCTTATTATGAAATGTTACCAACATTAAAATAATAATTAGGATATTTTAATAGCCTAAATCACCTATTAGAAAATGTTACCGTCATTAAAAGAAAAATTAGGATATTTCAATAGTCTAAATCATCTTATCAGGACATTTTACCAGCATTAAAAGTATAATTAGGATATTTTAATAGCCTAAATCACCTTATCAGAAAATCTTACCGTCGTTAAGAGTATAATTTGTATATTTTGATGGCCTAAATCGCCCCATTGGGAGGTAAGTAGTAATACTAAACTGTACTGAATTAATATACACAATAAAACGTTTGACAGATTACTACGCCAAACTGATGACGTGCAGATGTTCAGTAGGACCACTCGCTGGATAAGACAAGTCAATGGCTGCGTCCAAACCCGCGTAATACCCTACTAAACAGTAGGTTAAAAATAGTACACCACCTCTAGAAGTCCATTCGTTCGTAAAGTAGGTTTTGTATAGTCTTGTTTGGTTTGGGACACAGCTATTGTTAGAACACCGCACTATTTAATAACTCGGAAGAATCTCCCGTTTGCGCTAAGGATGCAGTGATGCGTCATCGTAACGGTCGAGTCCTGGAAACGCTGAGATGTTTTTGCACGAACTGCTGGAGAAAGTGATGTTTCGGTTAAATGTAAGTTAATTTTTCGCCACAGATAGAGAAACTAGTGATTTTAAACGGTCCTCCCTTCAGTCCTGTGAAACCCAGACAGGACAGAAACGGTACAGTGAGTTGTTATTGCCACAAAAACGTCTCAGGACTGTGTTTAATAAGCTAAATTATCGTTAATCTTGTTAGCTAACCTGCTACATTTCTTAGTCCTCAGGTAATCAATAAAATAACAACATGGTCTGAAGGTCTGAGGTAAGAAGTGTTTCTGGTATGAATAAAACCAATATAGTATTTTTAAAAACTAGTTATAGTATAGTTATTATATATATAATATATATTATTATATATATTATAGGTATAGTTATTATATACTAGTTATGTTTCTCAAACTAGATCACATTATTCTTCACTGAAAGTCAGAATGATTTGATTTGTCCATCATTTGTCTCTAAAAGTTACTATTTCGGCTTTCGTTTAAGGGTTTGTCTCAATACCTAGTGAGCCGCCTTGCTCCCTACTCCCTACATAGGTTAGCTACACTCTAAAAAATGATGGTTCTTCAAGGGTTCTTTAGTAAAGAAAATGGTTCTGTGTAGAGCCATGAATATGAAAGTGTTCTTTGAATCACAAAAATAGTTCTTCTTCAAAAAATGGTTCTATATAGCTTCTTGTTATGATGTCAAGCTCTTTTTGGTGCTATGTAGAACCATCTACTGCACATTCTCCATCAATATAAAGAACCCTTTCATGATGCAGAGAACCCTATAGTCACACAAATGGTTCTGTGAGTGTTCATGGTTCTATATAGAACCATTTTCTTTACTAAAGAACCCTTGAAGAACCATTTTTTTCAAGTGTGTGGGGTGCTGTGTAGATAGGCAGCATTTTAACCATAGTGGCACTTTATAAAACAGCTTACTTGAAGGGGAAATCCACCAGTTGTTCAAAATTTGTACATAATGAAATGGTTTAGCTGTAAACGGAGTCATTCAGAGTGGTTTGGTGTGAAACGCTCAGTTCTAGAGAAACTTACCGAGTCCGAACTGTTCACATTGGTGGTGATAGGAACCAGATGTCCACCTCTAAAAGCTCCCTCACAGAAAGTTACTACATGAAATGGTTATGAATTCACTGCTTGATGACTGAGACACTGTTTATGATAGATTTGAGGTAAGGTTGGGCCTAAAACATAAATGTTTTTATGATCCATTCTTGGTGGAGGGATACATGCAGGGTGTTGGGAGGTAAAACAGTCCCCAAAGAAACTTATTATTTCAGATTTTCCACTATTTTCCATCATCAACATTCCATATAAACTCAGAAGACTCGTGTAGGTTCACTGGTGGTTCTGGATAGTAAATAAAATGTCTATATTTGTGTTGTAGTCATGGCGACCCCTGGTTCCTATCACCACCACTGTAAAGACATCTGAACCATTTCACACCAAACCACTCTGAATCACCCTGATTACATCTCAAACACTGAAAGGCAGGACGTTTTTTTTTTTAAATCTGTAGAATTCCCCTTTAGTAGGGCAGTGATTAAACCAGCAGTCATTCCCATTACTTACTTAATATATACACCGATCAGGCATAACATGACCACCTTCTTGTTTCTACGCTCATTGTCCATTTTATCAGCTCCACTTACTATATAGGTGCACTTTGTAGTTCTACAGTTACAGACTGTAGAACATCTCTGCATACTTTGTTAGCCTCCTTTTACCCTGTTCTTCAGTGGTCAGGACCCCCATGGACCCTCACAGAGCAGGTACTATTTGGGTGGTGGATCATTCTCAGCACTGCAGTAACACTGGTGATGTGTTAGTGTGTGTTGTGCTGGCCTGAGTGGATCAGACACAGCAGTGCTGCTGGAGTTTTTAAACACCTCAGTGTCACTGCTGGACTGAGAATAGTCCACCAACCAAAAATATCCAGCCAACAGCGTCCTGAGGGCAGCGTCCTGTGGGCAGCGTCCTGTGACCACTGATGAAGATCTAGAGGATGACCAACACAAACTGTGCAGCAGCAGATGAGCTATCGTCTCTGACTTTACATCTACAAGGTGGACTGACAAGGTAGGAGTGTCTAATAGAGTCTGATCCACTCAGACCAGCGCAACACACACTAACACACCACCACCATGTCAGTGTTACTGCAGTGCTGAGAATGACCCACCACCCAAATAGTACCTGCTCTGTGAGGGTCCATGGGGGTCCTGACCACTGAAGAACAGGGTAAAAGGGGGCTAACAAAGTATCAGAGAAACAGATGGACTACAGTCTGTAACTGTAGAACTACAAAGTGCACCTATATAGTAAGTGGAGCTGATAAAATGGACACTGAGCAGAGAAACAAGGATGTTATGGCTGATCAGTGTATATATATTTTTTTACAACCTAGCGCAAGCTAACAAGTTACCTAGCTAGTTGTTTAGTTGAATCAATAACCCGAGCAAGCAGAGCAAAAACACTAAATTCTAAAATTACTTTTGATTTGCCAAAAATTCTAAAATATAAAAATACGACTAAAACACATAAAATTAAAGGCCAGTTGATGCTGCCTGTGTGGTCAGCTCACCGAGTACTGAGACACAGTGATTGAGTCTGCATAGTTTCCAAAACATTAAATTACTTTTATGTTTTGGGTAATGAGTATCAGTTTTGTATTTGTTTGTGATAACTGATGAAGTAAAGCACTGAGTGCGTTTACATGCACTTAATAATCTGATAACTGCAGAAAATCTGATTTTCTCAGTAATCTGATCAACGCATTTACATGCACTTGAGTCATCATATAATGGGGAAACTCCAGGTCTACTTGAGTCAGACAGTAATCAGATTTCTGCTTTACAACCAGCCAATAAACTCACAGAAGAAGACGTGCTGTAAACGTAACGTAAAACTCAAATTTCAACTGTTAGTGAATATTCACAAAAACTTTACCTGAAAATATGAACATACATCATCTAGAAGATGAAAAATATTTAAATCCTTTATTTTGTGTTTGGTTTAATCGTCGCTCCAAAAGTGTTTTGCTGCATCTTTCGGCAGCGCTCCTCACTTATTTACAGTACCGCTGTCTGTTTTCACACATGCGCAGGCTGAGAAATCCGAAAGAAATCAGAGTAAGAGTTCACGTACGCTGAGAAATCTGATTACTGAGCTAAAATCCAGCCTCTTTATCAGATTTCTTAATCAGGTTGCTAGACCTTACTCTGATCTAAGAAATCAGTGTGCTGTTTACATGACCATTTGAATAATCAGATAACTGCAGAAATCCAATTATGATCGGATTATTGGGTGCATGTAAACGCAAACATTACTGGACTGTTTTCATTGAATAACACCTCAGTGTTATAATTGAAACTTTACCAAATACATGGAATTTATCTCCAAGGAGTATACAGGGATTTACAGCCCAAAGAATGACATGGAAGACCAAACCAGTGAGCAACAAGGTTATGTTTTATTAATTATTAATTACATAATGTTATAATATAGTACATGTATATAACTATAAGTGCTCAGTTCATGGGTGATATGTTACTTTTTCTTTCCATCACTGTTGTTTCCAGGCAGCTTTACCAGTAGAGAACTTCAAGACGAGATGTTTGACGTTGGAGATAAACTCTTCATGAAAAAGTAAAAGTCCTGAATTATTTTTCTGGGAACAAAAACACAAAATCTGAACACACTTCTTTCATAATTGATCTCCAATTCAAGAAGTACAGTTTATTGAATTAAAAAAACACAACAGATTACGTCTCAGTACTAAATGTATTTTATAGTCATCTACTTTGGCGTTAATACTGTACCTTATTTTTATAATATATTACTTACTTGAGCTGGATGGATGTTGGTAAGTGTACATTAAGAAAAGGCTCAGACAGAAGAACAGAGCCGTTAAGATGATACCTGAATGGAAAAGTTACAGACATATTTAACCTGTATTTGTCTAACAGCTCAGGCAGGGATGTCACACAGGAGAGAGACGACATGCAGAGAAAGCGCTGTGCCACAGGAGAGTGTGATTTAAGTGAAGGGGTAAGATGCATGCATGGTGGGGGTCAGAGAGAAGCTGGGCTGAGAACCACGTTCTTTAAAATATTGTAAACACACACTTTTTTGCTGGAGCACAAACAGAGTTACATTTACTCAGTTCTCTGTACTCAGATTTGTGCTAAGATAATGCGTTTACTCCTACTCAGGTGACTAAAGTAATTACTTTATCCTCTGTGTTATTTAAGTCATTAACATTCAGTCATTCATGCAGTTGTGTGCAAAAGTTTGAACACCCCTGGTCAAATTGCATGTTTTTGTTGATTTTCTAAGTGAAAATAAGCGAAAGCGTCCACTGCAGCCCATGTGTCAAACTCAAGGCCCACAGGCCAAGTCAGACCCACTGTACAATCCTGTTCGGCCTTTGAAATTATTTAAAAAAAAATTTCTATTATTATCAGCCCGTTTTGCCCTGAGCTGCACTACAGTCCCCAGCATGCGCTGCAACGTAATGTGCGCTCTAACCCCCTTTCTCCAACAACAGTCTCTGGGCCAGCAGTTACGCAAAGAGAAATCTAGTTCAGGCAAATTAAAAAAACTTTCCTCCTGGGGACATTTAAAGAGCTTTAACCGTTATCTGTAGCTAATGTAGCCTATTGTTTTATATAAAACAATTTATTTTTATTTAAAACTATTTTTGAAAAGTTCAAGTACACACACACACACACACACACACATTTCCTAGGCCTCTTATCTTTCTGGGTCGCAGGGGAAGCTGGAGCCTGTCCCATCAGGCAGAAGGCAGGAAACACCCTGGACAGGTCGCCAGTCCATAACATTGCAGACACACAGACATATACATTCACACCTCGTGGCAATTTAGCGTGTCCAATTGGCCTGATTGCATGTTTTTGGACTGTGGGAGGAAACCCACGCAGACACGGGGAGAACATGCGGACTCTGCACTGAAAGGACCCTGGTCATCCGGTCGGGAATTGAGCCCAGGCCCTTGTTGCTGTGAGGCGAAAGAAAAACACAGCTGGCCCAAGATTTGTTGAGATGTTTTAATATGGCCCTTTTAGTGGTTGAGCTTGACACTCCTGCTCTACATTTTAGTGCACAGTTACTGTTTATATGCTGAATTTAGTATATATGGGGAAACATCTTTACTGTTTTATTTTTTCCAATATATTAAAATAAATTGTTGGAGAAAAATATCTTATTTGTGTTCTCTTAGAGAAGTTAGAGGAAATGTTAACTTATTTTCACTTACAAAACCAACAAAACGTGTAATTTGACTGGGGCTGTTCCAACTTTCACATACGACTGTAGTTCCTAATTTTTTGGGTTTAATTACTTTCTGTTGTGTTAGTTCATCTCCTGATCCGCTCTAATGTTGATCAGCCCTCTCACTTTTCAGCTTTAGTGTCTTAATTTAGACTGACAAGAGATGAACAGAGTCTAACAGACTTCCGTCCCCCTGCAGATAGATGACTGTAGCTCTTCTGGGGAACTTTTTATCTGAGTTATTTCATTGCAGTAACTGGTTTTAGTTGACTGTGGGTTTAAGCTCCTGTACTCACCTCTGACCTTCCTTTATGTTCATGACAGAAGCATTGTGTCTGAGAAAGCCCTCCGGGGGGCGCTGAGGAGTGGAGGGGGGTGTATCTCCTTTGTCTTTAACTGTGAGGTGCTATCTGTGCTGATTAGTGACAGATGTAGTCGTCTCTGTTGTGGCCCTCGGGCCTTTATTCACTAATCTCACTGTTAGTGATGCTTTTCCACCAAAGCTTTTGTATTATCACCTCTGACCACGCTTTAAACCAGCCGCACTGATGAATGGTTGAACGGTCTCTTTCAAAGTGTGAAATGTAGATAACACGCTCACAGGCCGGCGTACTGTATAGCATGTTTACAATAGCAGTGTGACGCACCATTTAATATACATTAATTAATTCATTAATCCGTTCATATCTTCATAGCAGCACAACACTGCAGGGCCAAAGAGAATAAAGACGACTGAGACGCTAGAACAGAAAGCAGACTGTAGTGAAGAGAAAGATAAAGGTGAGTTTAAGACTTTTAGCTTAAAGTGCGCTTTTTGTTGGATGTTAAAGGCAAATTTCACCATTTTTAGTCGTTTTTAATTGTGTTCTGTGAAATTCATGCATCTAAAGAAAGAAATAGTACAAAAATGATCTGCCATACACATACAGATGTTTTTTCAAGGGTTCTTTAGTAAATGGAATGGTTCTGTTTAGAACCATGCGTTATATCTAGAACCATTTTGTGATTAAATGGCTCTTTCTGTGGTAAAATAATGTTTTTAGATTCATGGAGAACGTGTTGTACATGGTTCTATATAACACCAAAAAGGGTTCTTCTATTGTTACAATGTCAAGCTTGTCACAATAGAAAAAGTCTTTTTGGTGCTATATAGAACCATTTTCAAAAAGGTTCTATATTGAACCATGTACAACACATTTTCCATCAGTCTGAAGAATGATTTTACCATGGATGAAATGGTTCTATATCGAACTCATGGTTCTGAATAGAACCAATCTCTCTACTAAGGAACCCTTGAAATGTATTTTTTATATGTTTGTTTAGTAGGGATGCATATCAGGAATCGTTGGTATCCAAAGATGTTTGCCTTAAAAAATTATTGGCAGATTTTTAGGTTCGGCCGATAATTGAAAGCGATATTTGATGGTTTTGATGATTAATGTATTTATCATACTGAAGAAGAGCATAATGTTTGGGTGATGCTGGGTTGCTGCACTAAAATATCTGCATTTTATTTATTTCAAGCCCTATAGAAATAAATACTTGTCTATAATAGTATTTCTGGGTATCTGTACATTTTCTAAATGTTTATGTATCGACTTTAGCAGATAAATGAAAGTAGTGTATATCAGTATCGGTCCACAATTCCCATATTGGTGTATCCATTATATTCACAATACCTTTTTTAGTTTTTGTGAATATTATGGATACACCAATAATTTTTAGCATTTTAGAATCATGCATTTACCAGAAGAGAAAAAAAACAACATCATTATAAAAGAGTGGATATTTTAGTAATATGGTTTTTAACTAATATGTTATATGCACTAATATTTTATATATTTTTATTATTCTGGAATAACATAATCCCCACCTTGGTTCCAGACTACACCGATGAGGATGATGGAGAGCATGATAGTGACAGTAATGATGGTTATGAAGAGGACAAAGATGATCAAGATGACCGTAGAAAGCACTTCATGGTCCAGCAAAGGAAGGCAGTGGACCGCCAGCAAGGTCCACTGGGTGGTCTGTATGGGTTATTACCCTATAACCTATTTGTTTAATTGTTAATTAATATTATTAATTATTAATTATTAAATTAATAGTTTAAAGCAGTGGTCACCAACCCTGCTCCAGGAGATCTGCCTTCCTGAAAAATTCACTTCCAGCCCTAATTGAACACATTTGATCCAGATCATTAATCTACTCATTTCTGTCAGGTGTGTTACATTTGTGCTGGAGATCAATTCTGTAGGAAGGTAGATCTCCAGGAGCAGAATTGGTGACCGCAAAGATTTATACACACATACTTTAAAAAAACTATCAGCCAGACCCCCCTGACTGTGATTGGTCTACTGCATGAAACGGGCACATGTGTACATACATGGCTCTTCACCTTCCCTTCCTAACTCTCAGTACTACAGTAGAAAATTTGTCAGACTGAGCAAATCAGGATTAAAGTTGGGCTAAAATTTGTGAAATGTAAGTTTTACTCCAAATGTAGTTGATCAGCCAAAACACTTCATATATTTTAGTTCATGTTTATGGATAACAGTGTGTCATACACTGATCAGGCATAACATTCTGACCACCTCCTTGTTTCTACGCTCATTGTCCATTTTATCAGCTCCACTTACTATATAGGTGCACTTTGGAGTTCTACCGTTACAGACTGTAGTCCATCTGTTTCTCTGATACTTTGTTAGCCCCCTTTTACCCTGTTCTTCAGTGGTCAGGACCCCCATGGACCCTCACAGAGCAGGTGCTATTTAGGTAGTGGATCATTCTCAGCACTGCAGTAACACTGACGTGGTGGTGATGTGTTAGTGTGTGTTGTGCTGGTCTGAGTGGATCAGACACAGCAGTGCTGCTGGAGTTTTTAAACACTGTGTCCACTCACTGTCCACTCTATTAGACACTCCTACCTTGTCAGTCCACCTTGTAGATGTAAAGTCAGAGACGATAGCTCATCTGCTGCTGCACAGTTTGTGTTGGTCATCCTCTAGTCCTTCATCAGTGGTCACAGGATGCTGCCCACAGGACGCTGTTGGCTGGATATTTTTGGTTGGTGGACTATTCTCAGTCCAGCAGTGACACTGAGGAGTTTAAAAACTCCAGCAGCACTGCTGTGTCTGATCCACTCAGACCAGCACAACACACACTAACACACCACCAACACATCAGTGTTACTGCACCCAAATAGTACCTGCTCTGTGAGGGTCCATGGGGGTCCTGACCACTAAAGAACAAAAAAAGGGGGCTAACAAAGTATCAGAGAAACAGATGGACTACAGTCTGTAACTGTAGAACTACAAAGTGCACCTATACAGTAACTGGAGCTGATAAAATGGACAATGAGTGTAGAAACAAGGAGGTGGTCATAACGTTATGCCTGATCGGTGTATAGTGTCATAAACCATGCAGTGAAGTCTTTTAGAGAACACACAGTTTGAGGTAAGTGTGATGATTTAGGCATTTCGTTAGCAACATGCTAATTGGTGGGTATAAGCTTCTATTACATGTTGGCTACATTAGCCTTGTAGCTCCAGTGTAAAACTAAAAAGGGAAACCTCAGACACCAAACATTTCTTGGCTGATCAACAACATTTGGAACAAGGGGTCTCAGGCTACATGAGAGTTCTGAACCAAGCTATTCCTTTAAGGTTTTGATGGATTTGTTAATAGTAGCTAACAGAGAAAATGTTTCTTGCTGTGACTCCAGAGTCCAGGAACTCGCCGATTTATAACCGTCAGGCTGCTGTAGGGAGTTACCGCTTGAGTGACTCGCTGCCCAGGGCTGTGTACAGGTCTGATCCACATGCTGCTCAACTGTAGCCTCAGTTTCTCCTGCTTTGCGTGACAACATGTTAGTTAGTAAACCCCTTTATAAGCTGTGTCAGATATCAGAGCAGGGAAACTCTAATGTGTAGTTTATGGGGACTTCAGGACTGAGAGTGAGAGATTAAATCAGGCACTAGATTAAAAGTATATTTCTATATTACCATTCAGATAACTATCAATTATTATCAATAATATCTTCCAATAATGTCTTATACAGTATGTATTGAAATCTTATAATCTGGACAATTCACTGAGAACTGCATTAAAAAATTATATACTTTTTAAATTAATTTTATTAGAACTTCATTCTAGATATTTGTTTTATTTGAAGTTCATTCTGCATATAGATTTCCATTAGAACTTTATACTGGATATTGGTTTTATTAGAGCTTCACCCTGTATATTATTCCCCTGGACTCCACAAACTCACCCGCACATCAAATTCAATGTTTCTATATCTGTTTCTGTATCTTTGTGATGATCCAGCGCAGAAATCCAGTTCAAACACTTCCTGAATCTGTAGAGTCGCCCTTTCCATTCCATCTTATCACGAGATCCTACGAGACTCACATCCGGAGTTATGAGCCTATGAAGAGGGGCTGAGATACACGTCATCTGCCTCTCACCGTGTGGAACTGGTGGATTCGTGTGTCCGTCTACATTCTGTGTGAAACTGACCAATGGACACTCAGGAAATCACTAAGGACTGACCATCACGCCGGAAACCCTTCATTCTTCATTCAGTCCACATCGGAGACTCATGTGAAATGGCGTGCAGAGAGTTTACAGCTGCTGAAGTTGCTGCAGCGGTTTTAGAAAGTAGTGATGAAGATAACGGAGCATTTAGATATGAAACATATGAGCATCATGTTATATGAAGAGCCTTTAAAGGAGAGTTTAGGTGGATGTGCACAAATCCAGAAAAAGCCCTCAGACCCAGAGGATTAACTTTATTAGAAGTTCACAGAATCTTGGAAGTTGTAGAATCACTTTATTTGACACAAAATTGATGTAATTTATTAAAAACAGTGAGTCCAAACATTTTAATGTTAGGGTACTGTATATGATGTGATAGATATTTCTTATTTGTAACTCATCATCAGTGCTCAGAGAATTGTTAAGCCTGTTATTTGGTGTTGAGTATGTGATGATGTTTGACCTACAGGAGGAAACGCACATGGTACAATAAGGGCTCCTCTGAGGAGGATGATTCTTCTGATGATGACAGAAGGTACTGACTTAACTCCTTGACTGAAAGTTGTCTTGGAAAGATATCCACTATTAGTTGTCTTGCATTCTGACACAGGACCATCGAGTTACACACCAGTCCAGTGTTCTTTAAAACGCTGCCTTCTCCAGCACCTCCATCTGGCAAGTTCTGGAAGGCAACATTAGCCACGTTTACATGTAGCCTAATAATCTATTAATAATCCGACTGATAGCTCAACCGGACTAGAATAGGTCCATGTATACACCTCAGTAGGAACAACTGAGGCCATTCGGAATACAGTTTCTATCCGACTGAACGAGGTGGGAAATCCTGTAAATGATCAGTTAAATAGAAGAATAATATCTGTGTAAACGCCTGTATCTGATTACATTCCCTATCGGAAAGTTTAAGTCCGTTCTGATCATGTTCGTCACGTCATAGTGAAAGTTTATACCGTTCAACATGGCGGAGCAGAAACTGGTCTGCAGAGGAGACGAAGTTCATGCTCTGATCTTTAAAAGACGGCGGTGGGACGGACGTCCAGCTTATGTGTCTCAGAACACGACGTCTTCCTCTCGGCCTTCTTTGATAAGGACATGTGAAGGACGTTTTCCTGAGTCTGACATCATTTTAAAGCAATCAAAACACAAGCGCTGCTCACTGCTGCTCATCTCACTCTGACTGGACTCAGATGCTGGTTGTCATGGTAACATCTACACTAAGTGGTTCTCTACACGTCAATTTTGGATCGGATTGCTTGTAGTGAGCATGTAAATGGAGATTTTCCATCAGATTGTTGAGTAGAGTGAGAATAAACACCTCAGTCTTAATCTGTAATCAGAATGTTTTCAATAGGATTGGCAAAAGTCTTTGCATGTAAACATAACATAGTCACTGTTGTAGTTTGCATTGGCTAAGATATCCCGCAGTCCTCTGCATCCTCTCAGTCAAAATAAATGGCTCATGAAGGCTTTGGCAGCCACCCAATGCAGAGAAACTAGTTTGGGTATGAAGGGGTAATATACTATTTAAACTTAGTTTTGCTTACAGTTATCTCCAAAACTGCACTGTGAATTGCACTGAATGACACAGAAAAAGTCTGTTGATGCAAATATATCCATAATTTCCACAGGACTACAGTATGTTACACCATCATTATTATTGCCAGAGACAAACAAACTGACAGACAATAAGTCTGCTGGTGTAATGTGTTTTATTCATGTTGAATTTATGTGGAAACCTAAAGCAGATGCAGTCAAAGCATTATTCTGTCATACTGCAGTGTCATACTGCTGAAAGCTCATCTCAAACCAAGATTCATGAAGGCACAGCTAGATTTGTGATGTCATAACATGCTATTTACACAGTAACTGAGTTGTTTGCATCATTTGATTATTAAGTAATTGGTTCAGAATGTTACTGTTGCCTCCAACCTCACCTGATGAGATGGTTTAGACTTCCGCAGGTGGTTTTTTTCTGTATAGCCACCAAAAAATTACCGTTTGGTAGTTTTTTGTCTGTAGAATCAGACCAACTCAGAACCTCATTGGTTTCTCCATCAGGCTTTTCCCTGTAAACCTGCGTAAAGAGGATATTCTAGGTGTCCGCAAAGACAGGATGAAGCTTGGAGGAAACCTTGCTGATGTTGACCCGATGGAGATCGACCAGTCGGTGAGCTCTGTTATGTAAAATTTACTCTTCGCTCAGGAAACTACAGTTCAGTAGCTCATCCCGTCCTTCTGTCCTCTGCAGGTCCGCTTTGATAGTGTTGGAGGTCTAGACAGCCACATCGCAGCGTTGAAGGAAATGGTAGTTTTTCCTCTGGTCTATCCTGAGGTCTTCGACAAGTTCAAAATCCAGCCACCCAGGTGAGACTAAGGCCCAATCCCATTTCACCCCTTGCACCTACCGCTTAGCCCTACCCCTTCATTTAGATAGAGGGGTAGGGTGAAGTGTTAGGGCTACATGGCCCTCCAAACGAAGGTTTTCAGAAACACTCCAAACAGAGTGTTATGAGAAGAAAAGAAAAACTGACAAGATTATCTTAGTTTAATATCATTTCAATTTCTTATGGTCCTTTTCTTCATAACAGCCATTATAAAAATCGCTAGTAGTTTGCTGATGTCTCGGTAGCTATCTAGATAAACTTCCCGTTCCACCTTAAGTGGTGCAGCAGTTACATTCTGGTGCCTCAAGCGTCAGAACTGCTGCTTCATTTAAGGTGGAACGGGAAAATTTGAACAGGAAGATGGTGAATAGCTGACTTTATATCACTGAAGAATTAGGGGTGGGTGATCATAAATAATTGCCCCTCTTTGAAGGCATATGATGCCTTAAATGTAACTAAAGCCCAGCAGTGAGGAGCTGAACTTTACCCTCCTCTGCTGTCACTGCAGACTGGCAGGGTCGCCTACAGAGCAGCGCTGGTAGCTGTTAATGAAGTGATGCTCTTTTTATTTGAGGGTCCCATTTCGTAGGGAAGATTTCAACCACTACCCTGTAACTCAGTTCCAAGGGGCAAGGAGACACTCGAAAACAAGGGGTAGGAGTAAAAATAAGAAATGGGATTGGGCGTACGAGATACCATGTGGAATGTAAAAATGTGTAGCTTGGTCAACTACCCGCCTATTGGAGATCTACTTTCCTGCAGAGTTTAGTTCCAACCTGCATCTAACATGCATCTAATCCAGCTAATCAGGGACTTCTGAGGAAGTTAATTGGCTGGTGTGGCAGATTGTGGTTTGACTCTGCAATAATGTAGAAATGCAAGAATGTAAAATTATATGTAGAACTAAATATGTTACTGAAATACATTGAACCACTTTTTTCACTGTACTTTATTATTTTATGCTTTACATGTGAAACGCTCTGTCCTAGAAAAACTTACAGAACTGTTCACAGTGGTGGTGATAGGAACCAGACGTCCACCTTTAAAAGCTCCCTCACAGAAAGTTACTACATGAAATGGTTAGGAATATGCTGCTACTCTGTTACTAAAATACATACATTTTTCTGGAAACCTGTTTTATACCACTGTTTTACCATCATCAACATCCCATATAAAAATTCTGAAGACACGTGTAGGTTCACTGGTGGTTCCGGATAGTAAATAAAATGTGTTATATGTTGTAGTCATGGTGACCCCTGGTTCCTATCACCACCACTGTAAAGACATCTGTCTCTACAATCAACCATTTCACACCAAAACACCCTGAATTGCTCTGTTTACATCTCAAAAATTTTGAAAAATCACTAAAATTCTTATTTAACTGCTTTTATTATTGGATGCACTGAGACAGTGCTGAAGCATTTATATGGGAATGCTTATTATTCATTATATATGAAATTGTGTGGCACATATTAAATAAGAAGCTGCTATATTTTGGCTTTATTGAATCACATTCTTTAAATATTAAAAGAAATGCAACAACAGCATTTGGACATTAGTGAAGAAGGAGAGTAGATAAAAAGGCAGAAACAGCATATACATTATTACAGATATATATATATATATAAATAGATATGTTTGTGTCTCAACGTTAAAGCGTTAACCACTCCTTTGTGTTTCAGGGGCTGTTTATTTTATGGTCCTCCTGGAACAGGGAAGACGCTGGTGGCCCGCGCTCTGGCGAACGAGTGCAGTAATGGAGAAAAGAAGGTGGTGTTCTTTATGAGGAAGGGAGCAGACTGCCTCAGTAAATGGGTTGGAGAGTCTGAGAGACAGCTCCGCCTGCTCTTCGAACAGGTCAGTCACATGCACACATAATTCATGTTTTTTTTTTTTTGCCCAAAAATGTCAAATCAAGATAAGAGCTGCTTAGAGTTACTGGTTCAAGTATGAACCTGGAGCGCCTGAGGACCCCTGAGGACACTGAGTGATTTCCTCCAGTGCCCACAGATTGATGAGTCATAACCTGGATGTTCAGCATTACAACTCCCACTAACAGTTACAACACACTGCACTGTGTGCAAATTTTATTATTCCATTAGCATGAGAAGGATTGGAACAGGACTGCAGTTACTAACAGAGCTCCAATTTCATCCAGTTACAGAAAACCATTCACTCCACAAATATTTCTGTCAGATTGTAAAAACTACACTCACTGCAGATTCATACTGGATAAAAATCGCTCCACAATTTTTACCGTCAAACTGTAAAACTACACACACTGCAGATTCATACTGGATTAAAATCGCTCCACAATTATTACTGTCAGACTGTAAAACTACACACACTGCAGATTCATACTGGATTAAAATCGCTCCACAATTATTACTGTCAGACTGTAAAACTACACACACTGCAGATTCATACTGGATTAAAATCGCTCCACAATTATTACTGTCAGACTGTAAAAACTACACACTGCAGATTCATACTGGATTAAAATCACTCCACAATTATTACCGTCAGACTGTAAAAACTACACACACTGCAGATTCATACTGGATTAAAATCGCTCCACAATTATTACCCTCAGACTGTAAAAACTACACACACTGCAGATTCATACTGGATTAAAATCGCTCCACAATTATTACTGTCAGACTGTAAAACTACACGCACTGCAGATTCATACTGGATTAAAATCACTCCACAATTATTACAGTCAGACTGTAAAACTACACACACTGCAGATTCATACTGGATTAAAATCGCTCCACAATTATTACCGTCAGACTGTAAAACTACACACACTGCAGATTCATACTGGATTAAAGTCACAGATCTCATCAGTGATCATGTAAATTACAGAACCTCTCCAGGTAAATCTAATCCAGCTTCAGTATGGCCTTTTTGTGCTGTGGATCATATTACAACATTAGCCCTTTCAAAGGGATATCCACTTAAATTAAATCTGAACTTTATTCAGGCTTATCAGATGCGTCCGTCCATTATCTTCTTTGATGAAATTGATGGATTGGCCCCAGTGCGGTCCAGCCGGCAGGACCAGATACACAGGTATGTGTAAAGCAGTAGCAGCAGTGTGAAAAAGGCCCTGTGAAAAGTTAGTCATGTTTAAGGGTCATAACTCAGCCTCTGTGTTTTCTGTGCTCTCATAGCTCCATCGTGTCCACTCTGCTGGCCCTTATGGATGGCCTGGACAGTCGGGGAGAAGTGGTGGTCATCGGCGCCACCAACAGACTGGATTCCATCGACCCAGCACTCAGGAGACCCGGACGATTTGACAGAGAGTTTCTTTTCGGTCTGCCAGACAGAGAGGTCCGAACAATATTCAGATGTTTTTCAAGAAAATGAATGGGTTAAAAGTAGTGGTCACTGTTAGTATTAGTAGAGATTAACAGCTTTGTATTGTTATATTATGTCAGTTTTTTTAATACCCCTCAGTATAGATAATTTTGTTTTATATACTTACATGTTTATATATATATATATCACTATTGTATTAATATTCTTTGTATTTTAGTGTTTATCTGAGCAAATAAATGCTTACTGCCCAATTAAATCACTTTATATATTAATGTTTCTCAGGTTCCTAAACCTTTTGTAAGAGTGTTTATATGTATATATGTGTATATATATATATATATATATATATATATATATATATCAGAAACAATATAAATAACTACATTTTATTGTACTTGTATAAAGACAATAAAGGTATTAATTCATCCATTGATTCAGTCTTTCAGCCTTTCACTCATTCATTCACTGTTTCAAAGGAATCGTGTTCTGTTAGGACCCACTAACTGACAAAAACTAGCAAACTGCACTGCTTTGTTTAATTCAACTCATACAGGCTCGAAAGGCTATTTTGAAGATTCACACCAGGCAGTGGAAGCCCTCTCCGTCCGACGCCTTCCTCGAGGAACTGTCAGATAAGTGCGTCGGTAAGACTGACCACAGACCGCAGGTTTCCATCCGATTTTCAACTAGACTACAGGCATTCGGGATTATTGGTTATATATTGTTTTTTCAGCAAGCTGTTTTAAAATTTAACAATTCAAAACCTCTATCAGTTCTGTTTTCCAAATGTGGTTGATTATTGTCTTTTAAACACTGGCAGTTAAATGTTGTGTTTTTTTGTACTGAATGTATTCATGTATTTTTCCTTTGATCGTACTGCACTGTACTGATTCCAGCGTAATAATGCTGGCTGCTTTGTTGTTCCCCCGCTGTGCTGCTCCAGGTTACTGCGGTGCAGATATTAAGGCTGTGTGTACGGAAGCCACTCTCTGTGCTCTGCGCCGCCGCTACCCTCAGATCTATGGCACCTCCAGCAAACTCTTGCTCGACATGAACTCCATCTCCATCTCCAGCCGGGACTTTGTGTATGCGATGATGAAGATGGTGCCGGCGTCACAGCGGGCCGTCTCCTCGCCCGCTAAAGCCCTGGACCCTGTGCTACAGCCACTGCTGAGCTCCATCCTCGCCAGTATACTGACCATCCTGCAGAGGATTTACCCTCACACAGAGCAGGGGCTCAAACGCAAGAGGGACAGCGGTCAGTTACACTGCTGAAAAGTTCTGATTCAAAATGTTGATCACACTTTATTTTGATGCCACCCAGTTTGAATAATGCCCATCATTAAAGGCATTTAGTGTGCTTATTTTAATTATGTTACATAGGTCGGAGAATGTAGCATTAGCAGTCCTGCCGGAGGACTCTTATTGGTACAGCACAGTGTATTTACATGGGTGAAGAAATAAAAAAGGCCCATCATGTACTCTCCATACACGGTAGCACAGAACACAGTTGTATGTAAAAGTATGAACCCCCAGGATTTTTCTGCAAATGTTAGTGTGCAATTTCTGTTGAGTTTAACATACTGGATAAACATAAAACATGAAATGTGCCACAACTTTTGCATACTCCACATTTAAGATTTTATTTTTTTTCCCTATTAATGTTAAGTTTAGTAATTAAACAGTAATTGTGTATTAAATTGTGCAGAAGTGTGTCTCTGTAGAGGATGTGTTAACTTACCTACACTTAATAATAATAATAGTAATATTTTTTATTTATATGGCACTTCATGCTGTTGGCAGCTTTACAGACAGGCAAATACAAAAAAAATATGTAATACAAGAAATTACTAGCATTAATTTAGAATCATATAAGAAAATGACACAGATAAAAAAGATAAATACCTTACAAAATTATTAATTTGATCGGGGCACCCAAACTTTTGCATACGACTGTATCCGCAAATTCAGTCTACAACAGTTTAGCCCTGCTAATTCATGCTTAAGTTATAAGGAGCATTTTAGCCTGGAGTTCTCTTTGAGTGAGCCACAATATAGGAGAGCCAATCAGAACAGAGCTCATTTACATATATCAGTCTTAAAGGCACAGTAACAAAAACAGCCTGTTAATTGTGAGGGATAAAGAGAGGCTGGAAAATGGTCATGTAAAATAAAACAACACAAATGTTACAAATGGACCTCAGGGAAATAAAATCAAATACTAGACAGGTGTAGGTTATTCACACCACATTAATAATTCCAGGTGAATTGGAAACATGCTGAACTCTCTAAATATCAGTGTGGACCATTTCTGGATGTTTCCTCTTTCCTCTCCCCTGACTCTCAGGCCTTGTGGGTCATATCCTGGATGACGAACTGATGTACGGTGACGATGAGAATCCGTCCACCAGCGCTGAGGACATTCACAAACACACCTACCCACGAGGCTTCCTGCAGAGCAGCAGGTACAGCAGCTTCCATCACCTTTCAGCCAAAAGATATTCAGTATGTGCTTTTAACAATAGTTTGTAGACAGCTGTTTACAAAAAACCTGCTCTTTGTACCATTTTTTTTTTTTTAATTAGATAAACATGAAGCTGAGTGTTAATAATAAGTGTACCACAAGCATTAACACAGATGCCTTTGTAGGTATTTTTTTTCAACAAATTCCATGTTGTTGTTGATTTTCTAAGTGAAAATAAGTAAATACATCCTCTACAGAGACACACTTCTTCACATTTTAATGCACTATTGCTGTTTATTTACTGAATTTAACACATTATCGAAAAAAAAACAAAAACAAAATATGGCATGTGCAAAAGTTATGGCACGTTTTCATACTCTCTGTTTTTTTAGTCAACCTCTGCAGATCAGCAAAACATGTCTTTTGACTGGGGGTGTACAAACTTTTACATATGAGTCTCTTTTGCCTCCGTTTACAGAAACGCAGCCCTCCACCCCACCTCCTGTCGTCCACGGTTGCTCCTCTCTGGTCGTCCCGGCTCAGGGCAGAGCGCCCATCTGGCCCCAGCTGTGCTGCACGCTCTGGAGAAGTTCACGGTGTACACGCTGGACCTGGCTGTGCTGTTCGGGGTCAGCAGCACCTCACCTGAGGAGGCCTGTGCTCAGGTACACTCGTCACTTATCAGCATGTGCAGCAGAAACACCAGTGATACGACCGTCGGTCTAGTATCTGAAATGTGTGTCAATGTTTATATCTTTACTGTCGAACTTCCTCTGATATACTAATTATTATACAACAGCTAGTTCTGATCTCTCCGTGTGATTGGCTGAAAGGCCTTCCCGTGAGTTAGTGATTATTGTGATAGATAATGGTACTACAAATGCATCTCTTTAAATATCAGTCTGTCTTATTCGCCTGTAACGTAGCAGCGACAACCAGCCATTAAAAACTTGTTTACAAGTAATAAGCCTACCATATATATATATATATATATATATATATATATATATTATATAGGTTACAGGTTATATTATTCTCAAGCGTTTACACCAAATATGAGTGATTATTAAAAACTAATAATAAAAATCAATAATTAGTATAATCTGTGGTATAATCTCCATAATACACTGAAGGTGGCTCTGACTCCTGAGGTGGTTCTTGAATATGGATCCTGTTGTTGAATGTGTCTGCCTGCAATTTTGTCAATTTTTATAGTTCACGGTAAATCATACTGAGTCCATATCAGCAGGTTTTGCCACCTGGATGCACCTAAGACCTGGATGCGGATTGAGCGGGTTTAGAGAAGTTCTGATATTTCTACCGAAACGATTGGGGGTATATGGGTGACGAAAGATTTCTAGTGTTTGTTAGCAATGTTGGGCTCATAGCTCCAGGTCTAAACTAAAGAAGCAAAATTTGGACTCCAGAAGTATCTCAGAAATACATGGTTTTCTTAGGACAGTTTACAGAGATCTTGTCTGTCTGTTCTCTCCTTGTGTTCCTGCAGGTGTTTTGCGAGGCTAAGCGGACGTCTCCCAGCATCCTGTACCTGCCCCATATCCAGCAGTGGTGGGACGCTGTGAGCGGGACCCTGAAGGCCACGTTTCTCAGCTTGCTGCAGGACATCTCCTCATTCTCCCCCATATTACTGCTCGCCACCTCAGACTTCTCTCACAGCGAGCTGGCTGAGGAGGTAAAGCACAAGCAGTGAAACCCTTAGGAGTCTGGAGTTGTTATTGTGGTTTTGCAGTACATTCAAGTCAGCTTGCATAATCATTCATGTGTTACTACAAAGGCTTTCAAAGTTAACATTAATAATATAGTAATGGAAAATAAGGAAACTTATTGAACATGTCTTGGGCAGAAACAATCCGATACGCTAGGGGTATCATGATACACCTGTAAATATTAATATATAAGATTTCTAAAACAGAGAGCATCACAAATTTCTTTTTGTCGTGAGGGCGCTCACGCAAGATGACAAGGCAAAGAGAGAGAATAACACACATAATGAGTTTCAGCTACAAAAAAGAACTCAGAATCCCAGATCTCCTCAGATCACACAACACAAACAAAGCTGAACTTACTGGACGTATTTTTGCTTTTATGCGCAGCGAAAGTGCAAACTGGAGATTAATATGTGGTGAGAAGCGCTGATATCACAGTGAGAGCTGGAGAAATATTTTACTACAAACAGCTAAATAGTAAAGAGAGTGACCTGATGACTGGATCAACATTATAAACATGATATCGGCTCCTATCTGCCTGTGTTTTAGACGCAGCTCCTTTGTCTCCGTGCTCCACTGTTCAGGCGGTGTTCATCTCACTGAGTTCATCTCTGACCTTCTCACACTACAGGACTCGTGAACATTAAATACATATTTCATTACGTAGTTAAATACTTAATTACATTTAGATTTAATTTATTCGATAGGGACACGATAAACATTTGACAAAAATTGCAAAAATATAATGGATTATGTGAAGTTTTTCTTTGCTTGGCAATAACTTCATCAGATTTAAATGAAAAACATATCATCTTCTCACAAACACAAATGTAGTATGGATTGAAAGTTTAGAATCAGCACTTTCCACTTAATTTCTCCACTTAAATAATTTTAATACAGTGCTTCACCTATAGTAACACAGATTGGGCAGCCTAACTCGCATACCGCCTGGATTAGATGAGACACAGATGCTAGAATATAACTGGCAGGCTAATGTTTGCTTCCTAGCGTTCAGTTTTTTTTTTTATTTTATTGTATTTCAAAAGGGGGTGACCAAATCTCACTGATCAAATAACTATTAATAGTGTTTTTTGACAAGAAATTACTGTAAATAGATAGACTGACTGGCAAACAGTGCAACAATTCAAGAATAACGTTTCTCAATGTAAAACAGCAAAGAATTTGGGGATTTCATCATCTACAGTACATATTATCATTAAAACATTTAGAGAGCTTGTCGCTGCATCCACAAATGCAAGTTAAAACTAACCATGCAAAGAAGAAACCATATATAAACAGATCTAGAAACGCTGCCACCTTCTCTGGGCCTGATTTAAAAACTTTTTTCTCAAGCTTTTTTTTTCAAATCTTCCCCACTTGTGTCAATGAGCTACGAGTCAGAAACAGCGAAATACAATATAGGAAGAGATGTTTAAATGTATAAACATCATGCAGAGCCTGGAAGGATTGTAACTCTTGTCTGGTCATTAAACAGTGGCTCAGTGAGGCTAGACATTCATACCAAAGCAGTTACAAGTGGTTATATATGGATCTGCTGATGTTTCCGTTTCTCTCTCTCAGCTCCAGACTCTGTTCCGGGTGGAGTACGGAGAAGTTTTCCACGTGCGGGTGCCCAACCGGACGGAGCGGATGAAGTTCTTTGAGGATGTGATCCTCCATCAGGCCGCTAAAGCTCCCCCGTCCAAAAAGAAAAGCCGTCAGTAACTTATCTTTCAGTTTATTATGAAGTCAGCTCACACAGTACAGTTCAAAAGTTTGGAATCACTGGTTTTAATAACATGCAAATGCACATAAAAAATCATTTTAATACAGTGCTTCACCTATAGTAATACAGATTGGGCAGCCTAAGTCGCATAGGGCTTGGCTTAGATGAGATACAGATACTAGAGTATAACCGGCAGGCTAACGTTTGCTTCCTAGCGTTCAGTTTTTTTTTTAATTTTATTGTATTTCAAAAGGCGGTGAGCAATTCTCGCTGATCAAATATTCATAGTATCTTTTTGACAAGAAATTACTGTAAATAGTAGATAATTACAGTTAATTATTTACTAACATTTACTATTTTTACCATATTTTCAATAATTAATATGACGCAATTCCAAACTTTTGAACAGTTGTTTATGTGCGTGTGTGTGTCTCTATACTCACTATGCACTTTATTACGAACACTTGTACACGTACTCAGTGCAGTGCATAAAAACATCCAGAGATAGGCCAGCAGTTTCACTTCAGCAATCACAATCGGGAAAAATGTGATCACAGTGATTTTGACCGCGTGATTGTTGGTGCCAGATGGGCTGGTTTGAGTATTTCTGTAACTCCTGGGATTTTCACACACAACAGTCTCTAGAGTTACTCCAGTAGAACACCATTGGGATGTGGTAGAACAGGAGATTCACAGAATGAAAGTGAACCTGAAAAACCTGCCTGAAGCAATCATGCCAGCATGGACCAGAATCTGAAAGAAATGTTTCCAACATCTTGAGGATTCCAAGCAGTGAACAATGAAGGCTGATCTGAGAGCTGATCTGAAAGCAGTGTAGGGGCCTCCCTACACCAGCATTAGTGCCGTGTTCCTAATAAAGTGCTTGGTAAGTGTTTGTGTGCTAACATGCATTTGTATGATATGTTCTCATTAGTGCTCCAGGCTCTGGAGGTTCTGCCATTGGCTCCACCCACTTCCCCTCCCCAGATGACTGAGTCAGAGCTGATGCGATTGGAGGAACAGGAGGAGGACACTCTGAGGGAGCTCCGCCTCTTCCTGCGCAGCGTCACCGAGCGGCTGGCCCTGGACAGACGCTTTAAAGCCTTCACCAAACCTGTGGACATAGAAGAGGTCACACCGCTCACTCACTCACACATTCAGGCTAGAGTCACAGGCCAGGAAAGGTGCTATGAAACACAAACTTGGAAAGATAAAAGGGCCCATATCCTACGTTTTTCTTGTATTTAGGGTTTTATGTATGTTTGAAAATAACCATTTTACAACCTCTCTTTACCCCTTAGAATTAAAATGGCTGTTTTTGTTACTGTGTCTTAGAGACTGATATATGTAATTGAGTCCTGTGTTCATGGCAGCCTCATTCAAAAAGCAGTACAGGCTGAAACACTCCTTATAACTTCACTGTTGGCTAAAAAGGTGAATATATGTACATTGGTTCATTCTTGTGACAAAACAGTGAATTCAGACAAACAAAATCAGTTGTTAGGAAAAAATGTTACATTCCAAAATACATTGTTTTTCTCTCTTTGTATTAATGCAAAGATGCATAATGCATAATTAGGCTTTCTTTGGCCTATGCATAAAATTTATTTTTAATAAAAAAATGTCAGCAGAAACCAATTTCTGATGGAAAAATAAACACTGTAGCTTTGTTATTTAAAGCTACACTGTGTGAGTTTTGGGGATTTGGAGACCCCTCTGGTAGAAACGTGTAATTGCATGTAACATGCTGAAGAACATTTTGTAACATGGGTTGTACTTCGGCTCCCTTCCCCAAGTAGATGAATCTGATGACTGAAAGAGAATTCACAGCGCGTCTTGTGAGAATATATATCATGTAAAGACATACGACGTGGTGTGAAAAGCTTTAGTCCTTACTCAGTAATGATACTTCTTTCAGTTTTAACAAAAAAATAGGTGTAACAAATGTGTTGTTTGTTCAGCTAAGCTATCGCTGCTTTTGATGATGGGGAATTCTGTGGAAAAAATCATAATGTAGGCTCTTGAAATCAAAACCAATTGTTCTGTAATTGCATCTAGGCACCCGGAATCAAAATTGAATAATGAAGTGCTCTTGAGAAACTTTGAAGTTTTGCTCTTACTAATAACGAGTGTCTTTCTTAGAGAAAGTCTAATAAAAGAAAGTAGACATTTTAATAGCAAGCACGTACACTATGTTCTTAACTTTTAACAGAAAGATTTTATTCTAAGTAATTTCACACTGTTTCTGTTGGTCCATTCATCTTAACATGCTCTGACCATGTAAAGGCCAGTTGCATTTTTTTATAGACATTATAAAAAGTGTTGTGACAGCGACGATATATTACATTTATTGCTTTAGTGCCATATGAAACTCCAAATATAATATACAGTATCTTGTAGCAGATATAGTAAAGCTGCGTTTTCTATCTTTGTAGGTGCCAGATTACTGCACTGTGATAAAGCAGCCGATGGATCTGTCCACTGTGCTGACAAAGATCGATGTGCACAGTTACGTCACAGTAAAGGAGTTCCTGCACGATGTGGACCTGATCTGGAAGAACGCTCTCGAGTACAACCCTGACAGCAATCCCACCGGTAAATTACACCATCCACAGCACTCTCCATAATATCTACTGAATTAAGACGGATAAAAGGCCAGAGAGATTACAGACACATACACTGTCTGGTCACATTATTAAGTACACCTCCTTGTTTCTACACTCACTGTCCATTTTATCAGCTCCACTGACCATATAGGAGCACTTTGTAGTTCTACAGTTACAGACTGTAGTCCATCTGTTTCTCTGCATACTTTATTATCCTGTTCTTCAATGGTCAGGACCCCCACAGAGCAGGTATTATTTGGGTGGTGGATCATTCTCAGCACTGCAGTAACACTGACATGGTGGTGGTGTGTTAGTGCGTGTTGCGCTGGTGCGAGTGGATCAGACACAGCAGTGGTGCTGGAGTTTTTAAACACTGTGTCCACTCACTGTCCACTCTATTAGACACTCCTACCTTGTCAGTCCACCTTGTAGATGTAAAGTCAGAGACGATAGCTCATCTGCTGCTGCACAGTTTGTGTTGGTCATCCTCTAGTCCTTCATCAGTGGTCACAAGATGCTGCGCACAGGACGCTGTTGGCTGGATATTTTTGGTTGGTGAACTATTCTCAGTCCAGCACCACTGCTGTGTCCAAATAATACCTGCTCTGTGGGGGTCCTGACCATTGAAGAACAGGTAACTGTAGAACTACAAAGTGCACCTATATAGTAAGTGGACAATGAGTGTAGAAACAAGGTGTATACTTGTCTGCTTGTTTTAATAAAACGTTAACATTTCCATTAAAAAACTGGAATCAGTTGTGCTAAAATGTAATTTTAATCAATAATAACTTACAGTGTTGATTGAAAAATAAACGAGACACCAGAAGGTAGTTTTAGATGCTTTACTGAGGAGGTTTTGGGGACGACAAGATGTTATTGAAGGTTAAATAAATGTATTTATCTGGTAATTTCCTATCAAGTTACCTGCCTCAAAAATCTGATCACCAAAATGTTTCCCCACTGAAATATTTCATCCTCATTCTTGAAGCTATTTGTTTGTTCATCATCCTAAAATTTTAGAATCATCATTTTAAAAACATCAGCAACATTATTTTTTTCTATTTATTTAAAACTGTGAGGCTTAACCAGACAAGCACATTAAAAAGCATTTTATTCATTTCTTTGCAGCCACGTTGTTTTTACAGTATTTAAAACATTTTGTGCAGTTTTTCAGCAGTAACGTGCGTGCTGTGTTTTAGACCGTCAGATTCGTCATCGTGCATGCGCTCTGAAGGACACTGTTCATTCCATCATCAGAGACGAGCTGGATGAAAACTTTGAGAAAATCTGCGAGAAAATCAGAGAATCACGCAACAAGAGAGGTGAACAAAATCACACTCAAAAACCATACTCACCAGAGAGACCATGCAAACGTTATCCGCTGCCACAGTGGTGTCCAGTCTAATCTGCAAAGGGCTGTTTTGGCTGCAGATTTCATTCCACCGGAACAGGAGTTCACCTGATTCTGCTAGTACTGGAGTTCCAACCCAAATGTTAAGAAGAGCCATTTTGTCCTTTCAACAAAAATCAAACCACCTTGTGAGCCACAACATTTTACATCCGTTTTACCATCTTGGCTGTAAATATGTCTCAGAATGTGCTGATGTGCTAGTATAGGTTAAAAATATATAAGCGAAAATGCAGACTTACTTTGCTTAACTTTAGCTCAGCTATAGCCGCTTTTCTCACATCTCTGGCAGGAAACTTTTCAGACTTGAAAGAAATAATGGTTTGACATTTATCGCGGTATGTATCGATATCGAACGATGTGAATTTAGTTTATCGTGATAACATTTTTGGCCATATCGCCCAGCTCTACTCCAGCGTTTAAGACCATTTATTGTTAAACTGTGTTGAACGATCAGCAGAGCTTTATTTTACTGTAAAGGAGGATTATTTTATTTTTTCCTAAGAATCTAATTCTGCTGTGGAGCCACAACAGGGCAGTAACCGCATGTTGCCGACCGCTGAGCTAGTTAAATCAATTGCTCAGCCTTCAGACAACTCATCAGGTGACCTCCAGCTTTGATGGAATGAAAACCTGCAGCCACACAGACCTCTTGCGGATAAGATTAGACACCACTGCACATCCTGCAAATCTCTCAAACAAAAGCACATTTTTGTTTTTGCTGTATTGGAAGGTTGCACCTCGTCCAGGTTTGCACCGTATTTCTACCAGGTGAAGAAGGAAGGCCATGGAGAGTTTAAGCATCCTCAGGTTAAAGATGCCATAGCAGCGCTGACCCCCAAAACACCACGACCGAACCGTGAGATCTTTCTCCATATTCTTGGATCATGTTTTTACTAACACAGTGTTCATATCACTGCCATTTTACACCTCTGTTCCAGAGTAATTTTTACACTTGTTACGTCAAACAGGGAAGCGTACCCGCCGGTCGACCCGCATAGCCAAGACTCCGGCACACGGGCAGCTGCTGATTGACGCGGACGAAGCACTGAAGATCCTGTCGCAGAAAACACCACGACTCATTGTGGACCACGAGCAACTCAAGGTAATAAAATGGACACTATAGAACATATACTGCCCTTAAAAATCTGGGGGACACCTGACTTTTCAAACTAAATTTAAAATAAATGACCATGTTTTCTTTGTCGGTTTACATGGATTTACAAGTTAATAATAAAAACAACTTTATTTATAGAGCATAGAGGTGGCAGCTCAAAGTGCTTTGACAGGTGATAAAACTGAACAGTAATGGAAGAAATTATGATAATAAAATTTATTTCATATAAAGCAATAACAGATCACATTAAAAAGATAAATACTAAAGAAATGTAGAATTTTAATTGAAACAGTTTTAAATTAAAGATGTATTTTGTAAATGTTTGTTGCTTAGCTTGAATGTCTAATAAAAGGTGAACTGAGCTCCACAGTCTCTGAACTGAGTCTCTACGTTTCCTGTGTTTTACGGAAGGTGTTTGCAGAAGATCAGTATCTGCAGATCTAAGATCACAAACAGATGGATATTCTGTGTGATATGAAGGCGCTTCAAGGCCATTTACAGTCTTAAAAATGAATGTTACAGTATTAAACTCAAAGCAGGTTTATTTAGAAGAAAACAATATCATGGGTATATATCAGTGACAGTGTTAATGATTGGGAATGAATAAATGAGGAGATACTCTTTGTTTGCAAATCTGCATTAGGTGAATTGTTACACCCCTAGTCAGCACTGTCATCAGCACCCAAACCTCTCAATCCCATTTCACCCCTCGCCCCTACCACTTAGCCCTACTCCTCTATTTTGCACATTCATGTCTAGGGGTAGGGTGTCCCGATTCTTGTTGAGATAGACGGGTAGGGCGAAGTGTTAGGGCTACATGGCCCTCCGAACAGAGGTTTTTCAGAGACTCCAAACTGAGTGATATGAGAAAAAACAAAAACCGACAAGACGGCTGAACAAGCAACCAAAAAAACACACAAATGTGAGAATTATCTCCATTAAAAATTACAATAACCATTGTATTATCTTAGTTTAATGTCGTTTGAATGTATTATGGTCCTTTTCTTCATAACAAGCACAAAAAACCCACTAGTAGTGCTGATGTCCCTGTTCCTAGCTAGCTAAATTTCCCATTCCATTCCAGCCATTTCCAGTCAGAACTGCTGCACCATTTAAGGTGGAACAGGAAAATTCAAACAAGAAGCTGGTGAATATCTGACTTCAGCTTCATATCACTGAAGAATTAGGGGTGGGTGATAACAAATAACGCCGCCCTGTTAAAGTCATACGATGCCCTAAATGTAACTAAAGCCCAGCAGTGAGGAGCTGAACTTTACCCTCCTCTGCTGTCACTGCAGACTGGCAGGGTCGCCTACAGAGCAGCGCTGGTAGCTGTTAATGAAGTGATGCTCTTTTTATTTGAGGGTCGCATTTAGTAGGAGAAGATTTCAGTGAATAACCCTTGTAACTCAGTTCCAAGGGGCAAGGAGACACTCGAAAACAAGAAGTAAGGGTAAAAAAATAAATGGGATTGGGCCTTTGAGCCAAAAGAGTTTCAATATGTGCTTTTAACAATAGTTTGGAAAATAAATCATCCTTTAGACAAAAGAATGATTTTCAAACTGATTTTGGAAAAGAATGATTTTGTCTAGATAATCATTCTTTAGACAAAACCTGTACTTGACACAAGAGATACACTTTAACTTTGCCTCGATTCTTCAGGAGCTTCATCGGTTTGTGGTGGTGAAGACGGAGGGCTGTGAGGTGTTTCAACTGGAGAAGCTCTACGCACTGCTTTGCCAGTGTATCTACAGACACCGCAAAGATTATGACAAAACCGGCCTCATTCAGGTGAGAACTCTTCCGCAGTTCAACTTTCCAGCTTTTACTTCTCGTACAGTAACTCGGTGATGACAAAGCACACAGATTCTGCACTACAGTGAAAGTACAGATCACTTTTAAAATATTACTCTAGTAAAAGCAACCCTCCTCTGTTTATATTTCTACTCAAGTTTAAATACAAAATTAATGCTTTTAGATGTACTTAAGGATCAAAAGTAAAAGTACAGTTTAGCCATTAAAGTTATATTAATTTGATGAACAATTTCTGTTGAAGGGGAGTTTTCAACATTTTTGCACAATTCAGTGGTTGAGAGTGATTCAGAGTGGTTTGGTGTAAAATGGTTCTGATTTCTTTACAGTGGTGGTGATAGGAACCAGGGGTCGCCATGGCTACAACACAAATATAGACATTTTATTTACTATCCAGAACCACCAGTGAACCTACACGAGTCTTCTGAGTTTATATGGAATGTTGATGATGGAAAATAGTTGAAAATCTGAAATAATAAGTTTGTTTGGGGACTGTTCTGCCTCACAACACCCTGCAATGGGTTGGATTTAATATAATTCAGGTGCTGGGATGTATTCAGAATATGTATTCAAAATACAGAAATTAAGTGTCTGGATTCAGTCCATGTTAAATTTTGTGAAGAAGTATTCATGGTTTATTTTTAGATTTTAGGAGAGGTATTTTTACAATACCTACTCACTAAATTTAAAAAAGAACAGTGTGAATTATGTAAACATTACAACAGAGTTTTTCCCATGTGCCTTGTAGAGATGTACTTTAAATGTATTCTTAACTTATATGTTACTGAATACATCACGGGGAGTGTTTTCAGTATTCAGACATCACTACTTTTTCAAAATATTCTTCCCAATTCTGGCCCTTTGTGTATAAAGCTGAAGCCTTTTCAGAACTATTGCAAAACAACGTGGCAACATTTTCATAACCATTTCATGTAGTAACTTTCTGCGAGGGAGCTTTTAGAGGTGGACGTCTGGTTCCTATCACCACCACTGTGAACAGTTCTGACTCGGTAAGTTTCTCTAGAACAGAGCGTTTCACACCAAACCACTCTGAACATTTTTTTTATATCTCAGTCATTTAATAATGCAGAAACTTGGAAAAAGAAAGTGTGGTATTCTTTAAAATCTGACTTATACTGTCTAAAACCTGTGTAGCTGCAGATGCACAAAAATAGGCAACTTGTGTCATTAAATAGAAGTGTAATTAATGAATTAGTAATGTTGATTTCTTAAATTTTACTGCCTCCCCTTAACTTTTAGAAAATATTTAAAAATTACCTGCACACTAAAGCCGATTTGGATAAAATGTCTAATTCCGACAGATATTGTGACTGTGATTTAAAAGGTCCAGGGCTGTTATTTTGGCCATTATTTCTGGCTTGACAGTTGAATGCTGAACAGACCTCCAATTTCACGGTCTACACAGCACACTTCGGTGTTTGTTTGCTTTTGATCAGTCTAACATCCATTGTCCAGGCAGTTTACAGGCTCTGTGTTGAAATTCACAATGCAAATTGCTGCTGTCAGGATTTGAAAACTGCGCTTTTTTAAATTGTGATTTTGGTATAAAACCAATTTCTCAATCCTGCTCCACACATCGTTACGGCATGTTAAGAGGATCTCAAAGAATTTCAGAGGCCTAGTTTAGGCCTTTTCACACTGAGCATGATGTTTTCGTACAATTCATTCAGACAACAGTAACTTAATCCCATGCACATGGGATAACTGCATAACTGATATCTGAAATCTTGCACACCAGATGCTGTTTTTCAGACAGAAAAAATACATTATTTTATTCCCCTTCTGTTCAAATTTTCGCTGGTGACATTTACTCACTGACCAATCAGAGGTGTTGCTGTTGTCGCAACAACGATGATGAAGAATCATCCGTGTCCCAGAAACCAGAGACTTATGACCAACGTTTGTCCTTGGGCTTTCTCACGGATGGTACTGGCATCTCCAAAAGCTGCTTAAACTCAAGAACAGACGTCTGAGCTGTATGTAAAAGAGTTTGTAACATTTCAGCTGCTAAATGAAGTGGTGAAACTCGCTTCTCCTAAATGGAAAGTGACCCAATGACCCACTGTCACCATTTCTCATTTTGTGAGGAGCAAAGGATAACTCTGTCTTTGAGACATTCTGATCAAAAACACTAAATTACATCACCACAGTCACAAAAATACATTGCTTCCATATAGCATGGTGCAGGGGTGCCCAACCCTGGTCCTGGAGATCTACCACCCTGCAGAGTTTTGCTCCAACCCTAGTCAGTCACACCTGATCTCTGTAATGAAAGTATTCAGGGGAATCTGAATAATACAGCCAGGCGTGTTGGATCTGAACTGTCCAGGGAGGTAGATCTCCAGGACCAGGATTGGGCACCCCTGGTGTACGGTGTATAGTTTTGATGTGAAAAAACTATCTGAATATTTTGCGTTTTGTATTTTTTCACATGTAAGAAAATCAAGTTTTCTCTCACTGCAGAGTAACGAGTAACGACACATTCGTGCAAAACATAGCAGAGCGAAAAGTAGGAAATTTTAGTTTCAAATGTAGTGTAGGAAAAGTACAAGTCTAAAAAATAATACATTAGTTCTGATACTTGAAAAAGTACTAAAGTACAGTAGCAAAGCACATGTACTTCATTACTCTCCACCGCTGCAGTGATTACTTGGAAGAAAAACTGGGATTTACTTCTCAGGCTCTGTAATCATTAGCTTTAACTGCTGAGATGGCATATGTTGAATGTTTGAATACTGAAGACATCTTGATTAATGTAGAAAGAAATTACTGTTTTTCTTTTATGTTTTAGGAAATGAAGAGGGAAATTGAAAACTTTCAGTGAAGCACCACCTCAGCTTCAAGTACAATCTGAATAAAGCATATTGCATCCGATTCTGATTATTAGTATCTTAGTCATTGTTTTTTAGTGCTCTGATGTAATTTCAGTATTCACATTCATTGACTTTTGTGATTTTTTTAAGAGAATTTTCCATGCACCATATGAAAAAGAAGAAACATACTCTTGAGAACCACCAGGAGGTGCTGTTGTACTCAGAATATTATACTGAGTCTAGGATGTGTGTGACTGAGTGGCCTCAAGTTTTGAAGGTTAAGTCATCACAACATTACAAAATGTGAGAAAAATGAGAGAAAGTGGTACAAAAATAAAATATGAAATCATTTTTATAAAAACATTAAATCATTTTGGATCATATTAAAAAACTGTTCTGCATACGCTCAATCCTGAGATTAGAATTTTAATTTGGATGCCACATAAAATCGAAATGTCAAACATCTGGAATTTCATTCCATACAAGTACATGCATAGCAACACATTTTTGACAACATATTATTCTTTTTTCTATTGTAAAGTTTACAGCGAGTCCTCTTTTCAAGTGTAAACCCCTTTCCCTTGTGTTCGGCAAGACAAGTAAACATTTCCAGACAGTTTCTGGGGTCCAAGTGAGCAAAAAAGTCACTCTTTCGTAATACTGCTAATGGTTCATCTTTCAAAAAGTATTGCATTGGAAGCCAAGTCTTAAAAAGAGAGACTAAAGAGAACCAGCAAACACGTACAGGTACTTTTCAGAAGAATTCTGCATCAGCAAAATATATAAACAAAATCAAACAAAACATTCAAATGGAAACAATTGGAAATAACAACAAGGACAAACTAGAATCTACACATACTGACAAATATGCCATTTTTTTCTGAAGGACTTTCATTATGAATGTTTTAGGACTACAAAAATGTTGACATGGGGGTCTAAGCAGAGACATGTTCTGCAATCTACAGCGTATTTTGCACGTTATTAACCATTTTCCAAAGTTGAATTTTCCAGAATCCTCTGGCTAAATGTGTAGCCTTTTTGTGTGATTCCAGGTGAGATGAAGTCTTATTATTATTCCTATCTCAAATTTGTATTTGTTTTCATCTAGAAATATTTTCGGAAATAAATAAATACGTCACAAAGAGGCGAAAAATATTACACACAATACTCTTTCAACAAACATTTCAAAATTCACTATTAAATCACTGAAGGATAAATCTCCTGATTTGATTGTCCGCCTGCTGTTGTGTAAACGGGCACGGTGCATCGAGATAAAAAGTAAGGATTCACTTCACATGCTCTGTCGTATGTGCCGAGCAGTAGAACTTCTTGTGCGTTATAAAGTTTGACAAGTTATTGAACTGGATGTCACAAGGACGGCAGTACTTGACGTTAGCCGTCGTGGAGAGCGATCCGTTCAAGCCTTTCTTAATGCTCAGTGGGATCTCCTCAGTCTTGGAGGTTGGTGATGAAGCCGATATGCTCTCGTTGGTTTTCGTAGAGCCTTCTGCCTCTGGGCTTGAGGAACTCAAGTGGATATCTGGAGTGGGCTCCTTTTCTGGATCTGCTGGCTTCTCAGGCTGGAGGGTGTCATTTAAGGCCAAAGTCTGGCCCATGGCTGTGATTTTCAGGTTCTCCTCACCATCTTCAGTGCTAATATGGCTCCCGTCTGGCATCGGTTGGTCTTTCTCGCCTTCACTGCCCTCATTCGGGCTCTGCCTCCGCTCGCTTTGTGTACCGAGCATCCCTGTGGCGTAATCGGCCGGTTTGATCTCGTAATACGGCCATATCTGCTCATCTGGTCTCATTTTCTTAGCTGCGCTTGAGTAGCTCTCGAGAGACTGCATGCTGCTTTCTTCTTTTATGGAGATTGGATGCACCTCAGGAGATGTTCCAACATCAGATGTTGTCACAGCATGTACCGGGACAGTGCTGGCATTCTGAACTGGATGCTCGAAGCCGGACTTTTCTGTGGCACCGTTTGCATTTCTGGAACCTTCTTTTTTGACGCTCGGAGGCTTGTTGTCCAAAGCAGTACCTGGGCAGAAGTTTTGTTTGTGGGTAAGGTAATCCTCAACTTTGTTGAAGCTTATCTTGCAGACTGCGCATTCATGATAGTCCATGAGCGCCTTTGCCGGGAGTGACATCTTACCAAACTGCGCCATGCATTTCTTGCTAAGATCTATGGGCGCGTCACCTTCCTCTTGGGCTATTGCATTGCACTTTGACACAAGGGCTGATTTTGTGACTGTCAGGGAAGGTTCAGGATGTTTGGGAACCAAACCCTGGATCATGCTGTACCGCTGATGAATCTGGTCCTTGAAACTTTCCATTGCATCCTGGGACATGAAAGCGCTACTGATAGTCGGCATCCCAAGGTAAGAAGGCGGCCCCATGGGTTGCATTTGCTCCTGATCGTGAACCGCCATCTCGTACGCCTTCCTTCTCTTGCGAGCTCGCACTGACTTCTGGTTGGCTGGTGATTTGTTGCTGTTCGCTCGCTTCATGGGTGGGTCGTGGCGGGTGGCGCAGTAATACTGCTTGTGCACCATGTAGGTTTCATGGCGACTGAAGGTGATCTTGCAGGCATCGCAGGTAGTTTGGCTGAGGTCCTTCTCGTTCTCTGTCGGGGACGTTTTGGGACTCTTCGAGTCTAACTGCATGCCGTTCTGCCTGTCCTCTGCACCAGATGGAGTCGATGCTTTTTTAACCTGCACTTGAAACTCCTCGGGAGCTTTGCCTCCTGCGCTGAAAGCGTCACACGGGTTAAATTGTGTGGAATCGGGACCTTTAACCTCAGAGGGATGGCCGGCATTAAGGATGTTAGCTAAACTGCCCCCAGTCTTAGGGCTCAGTGGGTCTGCTGCTTTGTCCAAAATGCTGGTGTAGTCATGCGGCTTGGCCATGTGCTGCCAACGACTGTTACAGTAGTGCTTCTTGTGAACCAAATAGTTATCGAGGTTGGTGAAAGTAATATTGCATTCGAAGCATGTTGCTCCTTTTGGGACCAGCGTGCTGTACATTACTGGGGGGTAAGTATTGCCACCGTGGCGCAGCCTTCGATGGACCAGCTCTGACATTTTAGCCAGTATCTCAGAAGCCTGTGGGACAGCAGTTATTTCCTGTGAGAACGGAACATGGGGCATGAAGGGCGGCATTGGAAATGCTGGGGTTATATGGTGCTGGATTGGAGAAGAAGCCAAACGGGGGCTGGAGGGCTCAGATTTCACTCTCGTGTAGGAGAAGCTGGCTCTGTTTCCTGAGTTGACCTCTGCCTTTGTGACTGACTGCCCCTGTTCTCCGTTCTCTTGCTCCGTGTTTTGAACCACTTCTCGACAAGCTGGACTTTCTATGGTGTCCTTCCTGCTTGAATCGCGTCTACCGTGCTTCGGACTGTCGGCACCGAGGTTTTTAGATGGCTCCGTTTCGCTCTCTTGAGCAAGCTTGCTACCGTGTCTGTGCAGTTCCTGGTGTTTGGACAGCTCTCGGGGCGTCTGGAAAGTGAAGTGGCAGTGGCCGCACCTGAGTCCGCTCTGAGATAGATGGGACAGGATGTGGGGCTGGAGAGCCACAAGAGTGTCAGCTGTGAAGTCGCAAATAGTGCATTTCAGACTGCTTCCAGCAGGTGTCTCCTCAGTCTTGAAAGCTGGCAAGACAAAAAAAAAAAATCTCATTACTGATTATAGTCAGTTTTCACATACAAACAATTTGTATGTTAATTTATACAGTAAACTCAAATATATATATATGATTGAAACATAAAATGTAAAATTCATGAAACATAACATTTTTGTTTGGTATAAATGTATGTTTATAAACATTCAGTATGCTACACATTTTATAAATCTGTCTTAGATATATCTGTCATAAATGTTAAATTCATTTGGTAAATTATGCAAAATATATTAAAAATGAAAATAAATGGAAATATGTGCATTATGAATGTTGGAGTAAGAAAACACTAAAATCTTCTGATTTGTACAGTAATGTCCAAGTTTCTTTATTGCCACACAAGAACAGCCAGGTTTCCATCCAGCTGTCAGATTAAATTAAAATGAAACACTGAAATGTTGCAAAAATGTACAAAAGGCTGCATTTCTATCTGTACAAGAGAATCTTTCTACGTTAGAAAAAAGCATTTCTGAGAAATAGGAAGCGAGTTTAAAGAGAAATCTTTATATTTTACATCCGCAGTAAATACCTCACGTTTGTTTATTATTTTCTATGCTGTATTTAATAAGATTGAGGTCTGTTTGAATTTCTTCATCAGTCGACCGGTACCTGCTGCCTGCTCTCATATTGCATACCAACTTCTATTTGCATTTACATTATACAATCATAAACAAATGTTTACACACCTTCTGGTCAAAATGACATTTTGTTGATTTTCTAAGTAAATAAGTCAATACATCCTGTACAGAGACGCACTTAAATACAGTATTTTCTGCAAATCTTACTGCACAATTTCAGTTTATTTGTAGTATATACATACATTGGCCTTTGCAAACAAAATGGAACATTTTATATTTTATGTTTTTATTTTTTCCAATATGTTAAATTAGCAAATAAACAGTAATTGTGCATTAAAATGTGCAGTACTGTGTCTCTGTAGAGGATGTGTAACTTACTTACACTTAGTAAATGAACATGGAATTTGATCAGGTGTGCCTAAACTTTTGCATGCATGTATATTGGGCAAATGTGTTTCCATCTAAATTTATCTCATTTTTTTATCAGCAAGAAAGTTAGCGGACAAACGTTTATGCAAATATTGGCAACTTAGAAAATATCATTTCAGTGAATTATGGTACAGTTATGTTCCCTGACTAAAGGAACTGAGATGGTCCCACCCCAGTGACAAGAGGGGAACTGACCCAGTGACAGTTTCATACCCTTATTTCTGAAAGTGTAACCAGCCATCACTGCATTTCTCTGCGTTTTTGTGGATTAATGTGGCAGAAAGTGGATTTCTTCTCTCTACTCACCAGTATGTGTGGACAGGTGCATTTCTAGAGCGTGCGACCCCGAGAAGCTCATGTTGCATTGTGGGTATGTGCAGATGCGAGGCATTTGATGGCCTGTATTAGTCTGTTTCTCTGCAACCATCTCAGGGTCCCTCTGTCGTCCGCTGCAGTAGTACATGAGGTGGGCCTGCAGGTTCCTCTCACTCCTGAACCAGATGCCGCAGGCTTTACACAGAAATATGTCTTCTGCAGAACAACAAATGAAAACGGAGGGTCACATTTGATCGTACAGTTTTCCGTATCAAAGAATTTAAAAGGTTATTTTCTAAGTTAAAAACACCCAGAGGCCATCAGCAGTTTTATGAAAGCTTTCTCAGTAGGTATCTGCAAAGTTGTCCAAAACAGAGCCGTTTACACCAGTCTTGTTAAGCAGTTACTGCAGTATTGTTAATGAGGACAGGCACTGCATTAAGATGAAAAAGTACAATTTAAATTAGCAAGACCCTTATGAAAGTTGGGGGATAAGACATATCTGTTCTAGAATGTTATATTAATTACATAACATAATAAATATATTGTCACTGTCTAAAAAGAAATGTACCTCCATGTTTTTTGTGTATATATATATATATATATATATATATATATATATATTTGTTTTTGAACGTCAGTTGAATATGGCAGCTGTTCTTTACATTGTTTAAAAAAATTTGATAAACGGACGGACTGGAATAAAATGTTTTTGCTTTCACTTGCATTGAAAATTAGGAATGTTTTGCCCTCTCCTGTAAAGCTGCTGTTTTGGAGATACTTGTTTTGCTTTGTTTGTTTCTTTATTTGACAGTGACGGTATTAAACACTGTAAACCGTTAAGCTGGGAATCCAACTGCTTCACTTTTTCAAAAGTAAATTCATAAATTAATTTGAATTTAAGTCCACAAGTTTATTTTACGTAAACTGTTCATTCCAATGTAAAGTAGTACATAAGAAGGATCAGCAAGTTTATAAGTAATATATTTGTCCATTTACTGAACTTCAGTTACATTTCATTTCTACAAACTTATTTCTTGAGTAAATATCAGTTTATTTAAATAGTTTAACTCTTAATGTACTGTTTTCATTTACAGTGAAATTTGTACTTTATACAAAGTGTACTTTATACTTAAAGTATACTTAATAGGTAACTAAAACTGTTTACAGTAGACTTGTTAAGCAGTTACTGCAGTATTGTTATCGAGGACAGGCACTGCATTAAGATGAAAATGTAAAATTTAAAATTAGCAAGACCCTTATGAATTTTGGGGGCTGAGACATACCTGTTCTTTAAACTTTCTGAACTAGAATGATATATTAATTACATAACATAATAAATATCATAACTATAACGTCACCGTCCAAAAAAAAACAAAAAACTATTTTTGTACATCAATTAAATATGGCAACGGACCGACAGAAATGCTCCTAAATGAATTGGAATAAAATCTTTTTACATTCACTTGCATTCAAAATTAAGAATGTTTTGAACTGTTCAAATCAGAGTCAGAGTCAGAATCGCTTTATTTCGCCAAGTATGATACACATACAAGGAAATTGTCTTGGTGAGTCACACATGTATGACATGTAATATATTAAACAGACCAGACAGCACAACAGACCCCATGTGTCAAACACAAGGCCCGCAGGCAGATCAGGCCCGTTACGCAATCCTCTCAGGCCCGCAAAGGTACTTAAATTTTCTATTAATATTAGCCAGTTTCACATTGTGCTACACTACAGTCCCCAGCATGCAGTGCAACATAATGTGCGCTCAGACTCTCCTAACAACCAACAACCATGTATGGGACAGTGGTTACACCTCAATTCTACACAATTCTAAACAGTTCCACACCAGTCATTTCACCAGAATGCATTTCAGCTTCAGTTCAGCCAACATAAATACTTAACTTCAGCTCAGCTGCTCAGAAACTGAGCCGAAGTCTTAATGAACATGCAGTAAAGAAAGGATGCCAGGGGTCTAGTTCAAGCAAATAGGTAGGTTTAAAAGACTGAGCACCTGGGGAAGTTTAAATTTTGAATATTTCATTATTTTCCATGTAAAATTTCAAGATCTACTACAAGTGTCTATATATCATCGTTGAAGTTTTTGCATATTTTGAATGAATAATGGTCAGTTTGGGTTACAGCATGTTAAACTGAAGTAAAAACTTTTTTTTCCTCTGGCCCACGGATTTGATGAGATTTTTAATATGGCCCTTTTACTGGTTGAGTTTTACACCCCTCACATACACTATTAACAAGTACTGAGCAGAGGGAAAAGTAAATGTGTAATAAATTACAATAAACAGAATAAAGAATAAAGACTAATAATAATAAAAAAGGAGGTGTGAAAGGAGCTCAGGAGATGTACTTATGAAATTAAGTTGAGAATCCAACTGCTTCACTTTTTCAAAAGTAAATTAAAAAATTAATTTCAATTTAAGTCTGTAAGTTTAATTTACTTTAACTGTTCATTCCGAAGTAGTACAGAAATTCTGAAGGAAGTTTTTAAGTAACATTTGTCCATTCACTGAACTTTAATTACATTTTATTTCTACAGACTTAATTTTTTTATTAAAACATCAGTTTGTTCAAAAAACTTTGTTAACTCAGTCACTTTTTTCATTTACAGTGCACTTATAAACTTATTAAATACATTTTGGGCCCATTTCTGTTGGTCCATTTGTTATGAAATGTCCACACAATGTTATGTAAAGGGCAGCTGCCGTTTTCAAACAGTGTAGAAAGTACAAAATAAAGCAGCTGCGAAGTTTTGATCTGACAGTGACATCACGTTATATATTATTTTATTGTACCGGATCACAACAGAGCCCATCAAAGAAAGCTGAATCTAAATGAATGAACGTAAATATCATCCTGAAACCGAAGGTCGTCTGCAGTCCTTTGTGACTCTCTTATCCTTTCTGAGCATGCACATCAGAGCCAAGATGATCCCTGACACAAGATTTCCATTTTTAACCAAGCACATTAATCAGCCCATCCACAGGCCCTGATAACGGCACACTCACTGTTCACGATAGCGTTGGGCAGGATGGAGGCCATGGCGGCCTGCTGGGGGAGGAGCTGGATGCCGTCCAGCAGCCTGGCCGGGTACATGCCCTGCCCATGGGGGGCGGAGCCTGCTGTCTGGAACTGAGGGCAGAAATCCACAGCGCACGCCGCAAGCTCCTCCCCCTCCATCACACTCCGTGTGGTAGAGCACCATATCTGTCCTCCTGAAACACAGAGAGTGAGAGACATTATTAACTGCTACAAGTGTATAGTTATTGTTTTGCTGTATTATTTCACCCTTTAAGGTCGATGTAAAAAACATCTTCTCTTTTCCGATTTCTGAAGAGTTGTTTATTTGATACGTAAAGAACATGATATAACGAAATATAACGATATAACGAAAGCTACAGTTTTGAACGCATAAATCGAAATATACCTCATACTTCAGTCACGATGTATCGTTACGCAGAAATAAAGATACTAAACTGTCACTGGGGCAGTGCCACTGGGGTGGTTCCCTCAAGGGTCCATCTCAGTACCTTTAGTCAGGGAACATAACTGAACCATAATCCACTGAAATGATATGTTCTAAGCTGTACTGACTCCACACACCCCGTCTCGTCTCCAGGCTTTTATTTTACTGTTCTGTTTTAAAACATTCGGTTATTAAAAGGTACAAATACGAACTTTTCACCTGGACAAACTTATTTAAGGTTCGCAATCAGACCTTAAAACCACTGTTGTACTGTTGGGGGGTCACCTTTAGCTCACTACGTACACATATATGTATATACACTTATACAAATCATTAACCTCATTGTACATTGTGTTTCTATTCTAAAATTATTTAAATGTATTTTTTAAAATTACATTACTACATAGTTGCATTCTGCATTGACATGTTTGAGTCTGCACTTCAGACTTTTCCGTCAAATAAGATCAAATATTCATAAAAATGTGGAGATATGAGTGACGCCAGTTAGCCAAAAGATAAACATCTTATTGTGCTGTAGCTTTTGTACAGACCACATTCTGTTTTTCTCATATGTTAAATTCAGTAAATAAACAGTAATTGTGCATTAAAATGTGCAGAAGTGTCTCTGTAGAGGATGTCTTCATGTATTTACACTATTTTTACACTATTTACACTATTTTATGTCAGACCAGGGTTGCCCAAACATTTGCATATGCGTGTGTGTGTGTGTGTGTGTGTGTGTGTACATATATATATATATATATATATATATATATATCGCTGCTTGTTGGAACAAAACCTCGTATCTCCATTTTTGGAGTTTTTCAGTTGTTGACGTAGTTTGAAAATGCCTGTTGCCCTTTACACACAGTGTTATAACAGTGATTCCATTGACTTACATTAAAAGTAAAGTAGGTTTTTTCCTTCTGCTGTAAAGTTACCATTTTATGGATACGAGGTTTATTAATAACATAAACCCTCTGAGGTCTTTGAGTTATTGTCGGTTTGCTACACACTGTATTCATCCTAAATATTTACTGTGATGTATTTTTAGAATTACATAATGAACATCATAGCTACATATTGATTTACATTCTGTATCACAGGTTCTTGTCTGCACTTGTGATTTTTGTCTGTTTTTTCCAACTCAGACACGAACGTGGTGTGGACTGAAAGTTCAGAATTTGTTCTCACATGATTTCTCCTCGTTTTAATGAACTTTAAGTCAGAAAATAAAACCACATCATGCTTTTGCTTTGGCAATTGCAGCTTCTAATGGTGAACGCTGGTCAGTTTTGCGAACGTTTGCCTTGAAAAAGGCGTTTTTCTGACGCCCGGTAATGGCTGTATGAGATAAAGGCATGACTAAATGAGGATTCCTCTTTAACCTCGGGATCACAGCATGTCTTTGAGCCTCCCTCGCTTCTGTGTTCCTTAATGTTCTAGTAAATTAGTTTCACAGTTTGATCTAAGTGGGCTTTTTTTTTGGGGCCATTCTTTCACTGCTTCATAGACGCATTTCTCGTCTTCTTGGAGTATCTGGCAACCTAAGCAGCAGAGATATATTATAGACTTTTCTCTGTAAGGTAACTGAAAAATTAAAAATTCCCACAGTTTGTTCTTTGAGCCCACAAACAATGCCCATACATGCATGCATCCCTTTGAAGATGGCAAAACAAGCAGAGGACGATATACCGCAGACGACTCTGTATGTTTTTTTTTTATTCCTCTAGAAAAAGAGGAACGGACATCTTGGATAAAAGTGCAGCATTATCTAATTGCGGAAGCGGCGGATGAAACATTCCACTGGAGTCCTAAAGAACAAACTCATTAGGCAGGCAAAAGGGAGAAGAGCGCTTTGTGGCCAAGATAACATTTATCTCTGTAAATGACAGGCTCTCTGTCTGCGCTTCATCTTCCATTGAGGGGATTAAAGTTTTAAATATGACTATTTACAAAAGTCTGGAGAGAGAGATAACAAGCAGAGGCATGATACGCCGCCGCTAAACGCCAGAATTAGGACATGGACTAATTGGGCTGTTGGACAATGAAGACGAGGCGCACGCACTGCTACCTTTCAAAGATGTATTAACACTGACAACGCGTCAAACGAAGGAAAAAAAAACGCGACCTGTGATGATTTCTGCTGGTTCGGTTAAAAGGCTAGTAATTGGACATTCTGCAGTATGAGTGCTAATGCTGTGGAAGCCCAGTTTAAGCATATTACACATCAAAAAAGACACAAAACAAGATGATCAAAGCAATAATTCTGTTTGCACAATTTTTCCCATTACCCTTAATATATAGTACTGTGCAAAATTCAGAGACCATCCTTCATTTATTTAATTTCTAGCCATTAGGTGCAAGTTATTAATTGTTTTGGAGTTAAATTAGATATAATATAATTCACTTGCATAAGAAAGGAGAAAGAGTGACGTCCAAAACTGATTAAAAGCTACAGAGAAAATGTGGCTCCTAACAACCACCTGGAAGACCTGGTAGAAACCAACACTGCCCCCATCAGATAAACAGCACTTAAAGCTTTCATCTTTGAGAGAGAGGAGAAAATCAAGCTGCTTCAGATCTGAAAGCATCCACAGGTGTTTCTGTCCATCCTTCCACTGTGAGAAGACGACTCAGCGCTTCTTTAGCTTCACACTGGAGCTATGAGGCTAAAGTAGCTAACGAGTAATGCAAGCTTTTATACCCCACTAATTAGCACAACTGGAGTTCCACTGATTTTTCACAATTTCTGTATTATTGAATGTTTAAGACGTAAACAGAGTCGTTCAGAGCGGTTTGGTGTGAAACGCTCTGATTAGGGAAATTTACTGAGTCAGAACTGTTCACAGTGGTGGTGATAGGAACCAGACGTCCACCTCTAAAAGCTCCCTCACAGAAAGTTACTACATGAAATGGTTATGAATTCACTGCCTGATGACTGAGACATCGTCTCCATTCATGGTGGAGGGATACATGCAGGGTGTTGTGAAGCAAAATAGTCCCCAAAGAAAACGTATTATTTCAGATTTTCCACTATTTCCCATCATCATCATTCCATATAAACTCAGAAGACTCGTGTAGGTTCACTGGTGGTTCTGGATAGTAAATAAAATGTCTATATTTGTGTTGTAGTCATGGTGACCCCTGGTTCCTATCACCACCACTGTAACGACATCTGAACCATTTCACACCAAACCACTCTGAATCACTCTGTTCACATCTCACACACTGAGTTATGCAGGAATTTTGAAAAATCTGAGAGATTCCCTGTTAAGTAGACGTACATATGTGGTTTCTGACACACTTTTATCTGTAAGTATGGACTAAAGTACACTAGCATACCTGAAAACAGTAGCAGCCATATTGAAACACATATTGACTAATTTGGGGTGATGAGATCACTCTAACCTCACAGTCCTCTACATCAGAGCCCACAGAGATGTCGCTAAAGCCTTTTTCTCATGTCTTTAAGTTGTGAACGGCATTCAGGCTGGGTTTAATTCGTGCTACAGGACAGGATAAAGGAGCTGCTCCACGCTTCACACTCAGAGCTGCCTATAAACACCAGCAGTCAGAAAATGGTGAAGAAACCCGCAGCCAAATGAAGCAGCCTCTGTGCCATCTGTGCACAGACATTAGGCTCTGCTCAGCCGTGAAGACGGAAGCAATTCACACAAATAACATCATTCATTTCTACAGCAAACAGACCCTTTACAGCCATCACGGCAACCCGAGATATTACTGCTCTTAAACGCTTCGGTCCAGACCACCTGACCAGCTTAGACGACCACATTAAAGAGTATTATTGTTTTTATTTAAATGAAATTTAAAGAAAAAACATAAAATAAATAAATGAATGAAATGAACTATAATTTAAGTGAAATAAACATTATTTAAATGAATATTGTATTAAAAATTGTACACACTGTATTAAACTCATTTTTAACTGGACCTGTAATAATAATAAAAAATAAATTAACACGACTACAGAGAACACACTAATATATTTTCTAAATTTTAGTGCACAATTTCTATTTGTTTATTAAATATTTAAAATTTTCTGTAAACAGTGAATAAAATGATAAATTATATACTGTGTGTGCGTTTGTGCCTCTTTCTATATAATTGCTGTTAAACGTAAACCTGACTACATTTTCCTTTTTTTTAATTTTGAAGCCAACAGCTGTCTTTTACATAATGTGAATGATACATAAATATAAACATTTCATGACGAACAGACTGAAGTCTAAAATGAAAAAAAATTGCTGCTGACCTAATTTGAAAATGCCAGTTTCCCTTTATATTCTGTGTAAATTTCATGATGAACAGCCCAAAATTACTTGGAAAACCTCCAAGTCTGGTTCCATTGACTTGCATTAAAAGTAAAGTATGTTTTTTCCTTCTCCTTTAAAGCTATAATTATTTATAGATACAAGGTTTATTTCCAACAACAATTCCGCGATATGCTGAATTTGGCTTCTTGATTAAAAGTTCAATTAAATAAAAGAAAATAAAAATGTAAAGAAATTAAACAATGTATATAGTATTACTACTTTTAATAATAAAAAATAATAATAATTTAAGAATTATTGATGAACAGCTTTATGTAGTTAAAATTTATGCTTAAAATACTGCTCTAGGAGAAGACCACCAGGATAGTGCCCCCCCCCCCGGGAATTTAAGACCTCTGCTGTAAACTGAAAACATTTAAAAAAGAAAGTTATAAAATTGATGGCCTTGACTGAA